TGATACCAATCAAGACCCAAGAAGGTAGGTAAGGCTATTGGGTAGCTTTTAAGATGAGGACTAGGGATTGTTGATTGGGACACAATCATCGACCTTCGAGACCCGCTGTAATGCAAAATTATTAAAAATTATCCGATTTGGGCTCTTGACTAGTATATAGTAGTCGATATCTTCCGATGCACTTTTATCCCCAGCTACGAAGTATCCCCAGTATTCGTATATATATATATATATATAAATACCGAATCCCGACGTCGGAAAGTGAATGATTTGACTTGGATATATCTACCTAGCTCTAGTAGTTATCGAGTAGTACCTACCCAGACACCTAGAGATGGATTGGGCGGGAGAGAAAAAAAGAGCGAGAGTGAGGTACTAGACAATCCATGGATATTCAAATAGATACCTACAGCTAATTGAGATTTTTCTGTATTCTCTCATACACTCATATAAAATGAAATTCAATTTACTTGAACAGGCCAATGAGATTTGATATATTCTTTTGCTAACACTACATAGATGTTGCTTTTCGGCTACAACTCAACACCTTCTCGTAGTAAGGGATTCGTTTTCCTAGCATCGATGTCATGATTGTCATTCCAAAAAGAAAACCATGCGAGCCATATTTCACCCCGCGACATTATTTCATTTGCCACCCGCCAGGACGATCATATCCTTCACTTCCAATGACAAGCTTGGATTCCATATTTGATGAGTTTCAAAGTGAATCCTCGAGAGCCAAGCCACTATTTACCGAGCTACCATCTACAATAGAAGCGAGGTAGCGAGGGGAGTTCAAATCGGACAGCCTGACTCGAGGCTGTAGAACAAGCGGTAGGTTATAGTTTGTTGAGGCTGGAGCATCTTGTGAATTCTTATTTGATGTCAATTTAGCACAGTAAGGACAGCACATTTGATATAATGTTGTATTCAGTCAGAGTGTCTAAATGCCATACAAACCGGAAATCATGAATGCAAAGATCGACAGTGTAAAGGACGCCCGAGCGCGTGTTCACTGTGACGAGAGTAGGCATGTTTATCAGATAGTGAAAGTGGCTTGTGTTGTCTCAACATCATATCTATCTTTGACCTTTCGGTACCAGTGATCTGTTGGGAATTGAAGGCTTGCCGTACCCTCTTTTCTAATACACAAGCGAAATGGTTCTATTTGACTCGTCTGGGCGGTTGAGGGCAGATGGGTACAACTAGGCCTCTACCCAGTATCTTATAAGGTTACGGAGTATGAGCCGAACTCTCAGAAAGGCTGATGAAGGGGGCTCGCTCATTCTTTGGATACAAAATGTTTCAATGATCGATCGCATCCATCGGAGAAAAGATTCCGACGTCCGATGCTAAAATGTACTTAGATACTCTTAATCCCTGTCAGTTGGTAGCCTCGCGTGGAACGCGTCTAGAATCTAGATGTAGAAATGGAAATGTTATAACTGTTGCAAATTGCTTTTTATATTGTCAAGGTATTACCTATCGTTCACCACAACATAACTTTTTCAAACAGTCTTTGCAGTATATCAATTAAAGATTATTGTATAAAATATCTTCCTCATGATATAACAAATATTAATATTCGGGTGCTATGTCAAGTCAAGATGCATCCCCTTTCTCCGACGCGTCGATTCACCAAGCGCGTCGACAATCTGGTGTCTTGACCCCAAGCTCACAATCAATTTGTCAAGATGATACAGGGAACTTGGGAAGCAAAAAGCGGAAGAGAGATGGCAATTCGTTGGAGGACTTGTTGAAAGATACATTCGTCGTCAAGGTGGGTAATTTATTTACTTATTTTTACAATACCATGTCTGATTCGAAAATAGCCATACCCATCCAAAGCCAACACCCGACCTCGAACTTTCCAGCCTATGATATTATTACCACGGTCACAGCTACCACTCTCGTATCTAGACATAGGATCTGCGACCAATTATTTGCCTCAATCGCGACTCTTCGAGACTCATGTTAAGATACTGGAATTGGAGGAACGAATGGGAAATCAGCCGATGGTCCTCATAGCTCGGTTGGATGACAATCGCACTTTATATGCTGTCGAGAGAGAATCTCGAGGATTATATGTAGTCTTACAACTGGGTTCCTGGATCAACATACATCAATTGAGATCATTGGCCGTGGTAGCCCAAACCGAGCGCACAGATGTGCCGGTGAAGGGACTACTTTTCGGTTCATCTCATTTCGAAACCTCGACCGAGCCATTGATCACACCGGAAGGAAGTAAATATACCAAAAAAAAGAGACTCGCTATCGAAGCGATACAGTCTATGATCAAGCGCCCATCTACTCCGCTATTGCCAGAATCCCGCCCTCAATCAGCTGCGCCTGAAAAGGTACCCGCATCCGAACCTCAAAATGGCACCCAAGCGACTATCTGTCTACCTGCTTTGGAGACGAAAACACAAGCTACTTCCACTGAAATTTTTGATAATGTTCGAACTCAGTACTTCGAATCACTCTATCTTTCAAAGACTTCACTGGCCTATTTTGCAAAAGGTCCTTTATCACGAGCACGCGCGGCATTTCACCTCGACTTTGACGCAAGTCTCGATATGAGTGAGCACATCGCATTCTTAGAAAGCCTTGTACTATCAAGTACCCTTCTTGACAAGAAATATCGTGATGGCATACCTGTCTGCGTCTCATCCATTGATATTCATGACCAGAGTGCCGACGATACTACAGTGAAACCCAAGAGGAAGAAGAGCAATAAGAAGATGAAACCTGGCAAGAATGGGCTGTATCCAAATGAGGAGTCGCTCATTAAGCAATGGTGGATCGGCCATGACGAGGAGATAGAGCCCGGGGCTCCAGGATCATCTAAAGAGGAGTTAGCGAAAACTCGCATAGCGAATCTACGTATTCGCGAGACACAACTTCAAATGATTGTAATACTCGAGATTTTTGCTCTACAACCTTTGGTTTCGACAAATGACAACTTAGACGGAGGCTTACCTAGCCGTCCGATTAACGATGGGATAATACAAAGCAAAGAAAGGACACCCAAGACTCGAAAACAGGATCATCTCGCGATGCTTATTGACGTTCATATTGACAGACTATGCATTTGGCAATCCATTGCAAGTGAAGCTATCAAGGCTCCAGAAACAAGCTCCGGCCTAACGTCCAACAATACCTTGAAGCATACTGATAATATTCTCAAGGACTTCTGTATAGAAGTTATTGTGCCTTTCTTCTCGGCCCGTCTCCCCGATCGTTGTGATGCGATAAATCGTAAACTTGGAGGACCCATCACCAAATCGGCTTCAAAACCTAGGACTTCTAAAGCTGCAAGTTTCTCAAACACACTTACTCGGCCAGGGACTATCACTAAGCGACCTGTTCCTGCAAAGCAAAAGAAGAGTCTGCAGCGTGTATTGACAGACGATAGAGAGAGGCGTAGTATGTCAATAGGCTCAAATAGAGCCATTTCCTTAATGAGGTCAGCTACGGATCCTACCATCCCCGGACTGAAGAGAGAGACAAGTGAAGCCCCATCATTGTCTAGTATACCTTCTGCAGAGTTTAAGCCTCTTCATGTTAATAGAGGTGGTGTCTTGAATTCTAAAAGATTTTCCCAAAGAGAGGTGGATATGAGTACACTTGCGCCAGACCTTAATTCGAAAGCAAAGAAACAAGCTGCCATTGATGCAGAATTGAAGGATGCCATATCAGCACTAAAGAAACCAAATCGTGAGCTGGCTGGTAAAGCTATAGTTGAGACTGCCGAACGAAGATCTGCCTCTGGTGGACATCCTCGAAAATCCAAAAAGCCTGACAGAAACCCGCTCTTTCAAGCATTTCAATCGGTACAGATTAAAGCCACTCCCAAAACCAATCGTCAAAAGGACGTGTTCGGTGAATCTCAATCGACTATTGGCAGATCTAGAGATTTCGACCAGATTGAGCTTGGCATCATTCCCCCATCGAGTGTACCTACCATACCACAATCCAAAGCTCGCCCTTCATATGATCTTGACCCCTTTCGAGATTCTGTACAAGCGACTCCAACTCGAAAGCCCCTTTCAAGTTCGTCTAGATCTACGAGCAATTTTACAAACTTTGACGCTGATTATGGTGCAATACCACCTTCTTCACCGTTGCAAACGCGCCGCTCTAGCGCACAACTATTCAACAGCATTCCTGATTCAGCAGTCAAAAGGCCTTCTCTGTCGTCTGTCCCAAGTTACTTGGAAACACCGGTCAAAAGACCTTCACCTTCAACATTGTTTACTGGGATACAAGAAACACCATTGAAGGAGACACCACTGAAGGAGACACCAATGAAAGACACTCCTATCCGTAAAATATCTGAATGGATATCGGGTTACACCCACCCTGCGGGTCCTTCAAATGAAGATCAAGAGAACATAAGAGATGTGCCAGTAGCGCTAGAAAAGATGAAACCCACACAAATTTATAAGAAGGAGGTATCGTATTATGAGGCGTTAGGATGGAACGATGATGATATTGATGACTTGGCATGATATGACTGCATTTGACAGGAGTAATTTGAATTGATACCAATTACTGGGATGGTTTTCATGACTGATTGGCTGCATTGCGTAGGGTTTGGGTTTAGCATAGCATTGGCGTATTGTATGAACTATTTTACAACTTGGTGCTGCATCGCATATCGTACCTAGTATACACACTTCCATAGGCATTTGCGAGATATAAATACATGAATATATAAATTATTAAATTGTCTAAAGACTTTCCAGTATGACGTTGAAAATAATTGGAATGATTGACTATCCTTTCTTCCTTGACCCAATTCCTGCGACTTCAACTACCCACCCGTAACCTTACATACCTGACCTCTCGTCCGTCCCAGCACAACTTGCAAAAACATTAGCTTACCTAGGCACGTTACCGTTAACCGGGAAGCAAGTAACGCAATAGCAAGTGGAGCATGGCGGGGACTGCGATAAACAAATTGATAATGATAAACAAACTTTATATGCATCCGCGCTGCACCGATTCCTGAAAGAAAAGCAGAAAAAATAGAAAAATAAAATGTTTCAATAATTCCACGTCGATTTCTTCTGGTTCTTTCTATTGGATTCTAGGGATTGGTTGATTGATTGATTGATTTACTTCATTGATTGATTGCAGAGCGGATCACTCAGAGCTGGATTTTCTCGTTGCTTGATACATAGGTATACTTTACTTACTTGGTATTAATATCCAGAACGTTAACGGTGAACTTTACAGGCGACGAAGAAGTTAATGTGTTTGGGATTGAGATACTGCTACTGGAAGGAAAGAAGGAACGATCAATATCAATATCAACATCAAGAAGACGAACGAGATTCTTGCTGAAAAGAAAGGATATTATTACCTAGTATTCTATTTTATTCTCGGGGAGTTGCCCTAAAAAAACAAAGGATCAGAAGTCTTTACCATATAAAGGAACATCGACAAGCAAGCCACTTTGAAAACTCGCTCAAAATGGATATTCTGGCGCTCATTCAAGCTAATCCGGTCGTTAACGGTATGTCCACTTGCCTCTCTTCCTCTCCTCCACCATGCTAACTCCCCTCCAGACATCTATCAACATCTCGCCCCCTACCTAATGCAAGCGTACCCCTACCTTCTGCGCGCCTACCCTCTCCTCCACAGCATCTACACCTCTCTCTTCACCAATTTCCTGCACCCCCTGTACCTCTTCACCATAACGCACATCATGCCACTGGTCCTGCCGCTCCTCGAAGCCGCTCTCAAAGTCGCGAGTCAGAGTCCTGGGATCGCGGTCGTGGTGGGAGTTTTGGCAGTCATCTGGTTTATATTTTTCCTGATGGGTTTGATGCGCAGGATGGTGGCGTGGGGACTGCGCATGGTGTTTGGATTGGTGTTTTGGGGGGTGCTGGGCGGAGTGGCGGTGGTGGTTTTGCAGAGGGGGGTGGGGAGGACTGGGGCGGAATTGGTCGAGGGGGGAAGGTGGGTGCTGGATGTTTTTTGGAGTGAGTATATGAAGGCAAGGAGGGAGCAGGAGATGAGGAGGTGAGGGGTTGGTTTGATGGGGAGGTCTTTTTGTGATATTGTGGGTTGGTGGGTTTGATTGGCGTTTGGGTTTGGATGGTTTTGTGATGATATGTGAGGAAAATGGGAAATAGCAAAGGAGAGGAAAAGACGGGTGGTGGTGAGGAAATGCATTGGATAGAAGGGTATATGCTTCGGAGCATCAGCAATGATTGGATGAGCGTTGTAATTACCGTCTGCCATCAGCGAATAGGGCAACTTTGACAATGAACATAATACGTCGTTATGCGGACATTGGCATATTTTGAAGAGCAAGCTCATGAAAGTAAAAACAAGACTTGTAGATATCTCCACTCTTTGATAATTCCTGATATTCTTGGATATGACAATTCACCCATAAAACGCCAACGCTATGCATCATACAACTTTTCTCCTTAACGCCAGTTCGGTACCCTCCCCAATTCCGTACCTCCCAACCAGCTATGCGCCTCTGCTTGTGTCGAGATTCGAAGTATACTTGACTACCGATCTTTGCAGCTGTCTGAATATTCCACATAGCACATTTTCTCTTTCTTTCAAAATTCCAAACCAAGCCAACTTATTCTGCCTCGTCATATTCCACCTCATCATTTGGTTCCTTTGGTTCTTGCGCCTCATGGAATTGAATAGCATCATCAATATAACTCAAGATTCCTCCAACACTATCCTCACTCTGCACATCCAACCTCAAATACGAGACCATACTGAAACTGTCAATCAAACCCGCAACGGCCTTATTCAATCTGCGAAAACTGTTCCCCTTCATCAATGTCTGCGCATCCTTTGCTTCACCCTCTCCATCATCTTCTTCCTGATCATCATCCAATAACGACGTATCCGGGTCTAAGAATCTTTTGAGTTCTCTCTTTGCGACTTGTCCTTTTACTAAATCCATCTTGGAAAGAATGTTGACGTGTGGGACCTCGAGCATAATCATCGCGCTCATAGCAGATAAAGTGCCTGCGAAAAACTTTGCGCGATCAACCACAAACGTCGCTTCTAACAAATACGCCGCGCATAGATTAATATCCAATGCGCCCGTCTTGGTCAAGAATTTTACTAGAGCAGGTAAAATTGGAATGTGTGTGTATAATTCTATCTGGCCTGGCATATCGATGATAATGAGATATTCTTCGGTAAGAGGCTCAATGGCTTCGGAAAGGAAATCGAGATTTTCGAGAAGGAACTCAAAACAATAGATGAGACCGCCGTTAGGGCCGAGGCCCATTTCTTCCATGACATCTTCAAGGGATATAAGATCTTTGATATCGAGATCGGGTTCGTGGGAGAAGGTTTCGGCGGCCGGATCAAGGTTAATGTAGAAGCAGGAGCGACGATTGTTTTGGAGATGGTTTATGAGACCGGCACAGAAAGTTGTCTGGAGGTAAAGGGGAAGGATATTAGTATATGTCTCTCTCTTGACTTGTTTCAGGAGAATATTCACATAAATCAAGATTTGGATTGGGAATGGTTAAGGGCTGGAAATATGAGAAAGACGCGCATGGAATGGAAAGACATACTTTTCCAGCACCTGCAGGTCCCATTACTAGGACACCGAATTTACTCATCTTGATATTATGGTAGATACCTGATATTAGTGATGGGTAGATAATATGCGACGATGATAGTATTTGTATTGGTTTGTGAATAATGTGCCCTGGCAAGCAATGATAGATTATGAATACCTACCTATTATCAGACTTGTAAAATGTTCATAGTGGGGTAGCTTCTATCAGTGAGAGAAAAAAAAGTTCAGCCTTCTCCTTCCTTGCTTACCTAACCTTGGGCGTGGACAAAAGTTTCTTTGCACAAGGCTGAGGTGTGGAATGTTTCCAGAAGGCGTAGTGATTACCTAGTATTTGTTATCATTAGTAGAAAGTTAGAAGGTAATTAGTACCACCTAACCTACGGGATACTAGGCAAGGCCCGTCTCGGTACGAGTGTGCCCCGTACGAACCTGTCTCAATAATAAACTAGGTACCGCTACAATATATTGATATCTATCAAATAAACTATCAACCCGACTGAGATGGGAATCTATTGACAATTCTCCGGCGGCAATGCTACCTAAGAGACTACCTGCACTACATAGGCAAGTCAATGGAGTGGATGTGATGATCTAGATTGCCCAAGCATAATATGATATAGAATACCACAAACAATCTCGGAGCGAAGGGTATATTGAATCCAAATGTTCGGCGTCCGAGATGTATCCTAGGTGATTGAAGCCAGTGAACCACTATTGACACAATCAGCCAATCATTCCATTCAACATCTCCAGATCATCACTCATATCTGTATCATAACCTGATAAAGGCAACTGGAACTGCAAGTCCCTCATCCTCGATACCCCTGTACGGAATCAACATGGGATGTATGGAATCAATCTTGCATGCGCATCTTTGCATCTTACATACAAATTACGACTTTGCGAAATCAAAAGAAAGGAAAGGTTTGACAGCGGTGAGGTGTTCGATATCATACCTACCTAGGCATGGAGAAATATGCTACTGGACTGTCGGCCAGCCTGGCAGTCTCTATTGGGAACTAGGGAGGTATTCTGTACCAGTCCTGGAGCTGGAGATATGGTGCAATTCTCCCATTTCATTACTAACCAATTGGAATTCGTAGCACAGACATATTCTTTGTTTAACCCCACCTTCCCCCAAAAAATCCCAATCACAAACTTTTCCTTTTCCTTACATACTACATAGATCCTTTTCTTCCGACCCCTCAACCTTCTGACTCTTCTCTTCTTCCTTTAAAAACAAAACACTTTTCAGTAATTTGTCTTTTCTTCCCATTTTCTCTCAAACAACTCTCTCTTCTCCATCTTCTCCTCACTCACATATACCAACCGCAATCATGGTTCAAGCTAACGGATCAAATGGGGTTTCCCACCACAACCAAGGAACCTTCCTTTTCACCGTAAGCTGGCCTCTTGACTCGATAACAAATTTTCCGTACTGATCGTTTTCTCTAGTCCGAGTCTGTTGGTGAGGGACATCCAGACAAGATCGCTGATCAAGTCTCCGATGCTATTCTCGATGCATGCTTAGCTGAGGACCCTCTCTCCAAGGTTGCTTGTGAGACTGCTACCAAGACTGGTATGATTATGGTCTTTGGTGAAATTACCACCAAGGCACGTCTCGATTACCAAAAGGTTATCCGTGGAGCCATCAAGGATATTGGATACGATGACTCTTCCAAGGGTTTCGATTACAAGACTTGCAACGTTTTGGTTGCCATTGAAGAACAATCCCCAGATATCGCTCAAGGTCTTCACTACGAGCAAGCTCTTGAGCAATTGGGTGCTGGTGATCAAGGTATCATGTTCGGTTATGCCACTGACGAGACTCCTGAATTATTCCCTTTGACCCTCCAATTGGCACACAAGCTTAACGCTGCTATGTCCGCTGCTCGCAGAGACGGAAGCTTGCCATGGCTCAGACCTGACACCAAGACTCAAGTTACCATTGAATACAAGCACGACAACGGAGCTGTTGTCCCACAAAAGGTTCACACCGTTGTCGTCAGTGCTCAACACGACGAGAACATCACCACCGAGTCTTTGAGAAAGGAGATTTTGGAGAAGATCATCAAGAAGGTTATCCCAGCTGAATACTTGACTGAGGAGACCATCTACCACGTAAGTTTAATTGTAATCATCTTGCGATAATAATATGCTAACATCCCTTTCAGATCCAACCATCCGGACTTTTCATCATTGGTGGACCTCAAGGAGATGCTGGTCTTACCGGCAGAAAGATTATTGTCGACACATACGGTGGATGGGGTGCTCACGGTGGTGGAGCTTTCTCCGGAAAGGATTTCTCCAAGGTCGACAGATCTGCTGCCTACGTCGCTAGATGGATTGCCAAATCTTTGGTCAATGCCAAACTTGCCAGACGTGCTCTCGTTCAACTCTCATACGCTATCGGTGTTGCTGAGCCACTCTCAATCTTCGTTGACACATACGGCACATCCAGCAAGACCTCTGATGAACTTGTTGAGATCATCAGAGCCAACTTTGACTTGAGACCTGGTGTCATTGTCAAGGAGCTCGATTTGGCCAAGCCAATCTACTTCAAGACTGCCAAGAACGGTCACTTCACCAGCCAAGAATTCAGCTGGGAGAAGCCAAAGACCCTCAAGTTCTAAACAAAAATATAATAAACTCAAAACACAACATCAGTACAGGACTCAACGTCTTTGTACAACCAGGATTCCCTGTATTTCCTACGGATATCTAACGGCGCAATGATTGATGAAAGGCATGGTCTCAACGACCTTTGGGGCCAATATATGGCGGGAGTTTTTTTATGATATCATTCACATTTTTTTTTACACCTGCTTTGATCAGCGCTTTATTGTATGACAAAAGCACTATTTTCTGAGTTTCTTCTCATTTTGTTTTTCAAGAATAACACAGCAAAAGACACAAATGAAGATAAAAAGTCTTTCAACATAGACCGTAGATATGGCGGGCAATTGGTTATTACTCTTTTCGGGGATGGGAGGAGTGGCATACATAGCATTCGGCGTTACGGAGAACTTCAACATCTTCAATATAGTCGGAGAATACCTTGGGCAGGTTGCCTTGGGAGGATTCTCAGTTGCTATTGTGCATGGAGCTCAACTTAGTTCGATTTGAATTGAGGATAGACAATCATCTAATCATGATTTGATGGTTAGAAGAATAGTTTTTTTTTGGATTTAGTGGGGGGATAGCAATTTAAGATTACTGTTCTTTCTCTACTTTTATTATTTGATATATGCATATTAGTGATATGAAGTGAATTTGATTATTTGACTTGTGTAAACTCAAGAATTTGGGGATCAATAGTTACATCAACAGCCCTGAAAATTTCTCCTTCCTGTATTCAGAATTTGCCGAAACTTTCCTCGAGAATTTGTATCTCTTTGACAAGATCATTGCTATTGTGCAGAGATTTCCCTTTGGGGATGGGTTCGTATTGTTCGCAAATTCTTTGATGTGTCGTATACTTGCTTGGTGATGGGATGGATGGCGCAAGGCTGAGCATGGAATTTATTTCTAGTGATTTGATAGGTGAAGGAAGGATATATGCATGGAAAAATATAAAATAATTGCGGTGGATAGAATCGGGCTTGGATGTTGAAGATTATTAGAGACGAAGGAGGAGGGTATCTAGGACTGAGTATTGAGTATTGAGTTTTGGGGATTGGGACTGAGTAAAAAGTGTTGGAGGTATGTCACTAGGTGGCTAAATGACGAGAGGAAGAGCGCTAGTGGGTATTGTCGCTCTTGGAGTGGAGGGATGCGGGAGGTGGGAGTTGTTGGAGATTGGGAGGTTGAGGTGAGTAGGTGGGCTGGTGTTCGAGGTGGTTTGAAATTTGGAACTTGGAACTGGGAACTGGAACTGGAACTGGAACTGGAAATGGTTTCTGGTTGGGAGATTTGGGGTGAAAGGGGGATAGAGAGGGAGGATATGTAAGATAGAGATATTGAGATGGGAAATGACAAGAGAAGATAAGGTTTGGAAAATCTAGAAGAGGATGAAAGGGTGAAAGGGAGGGGGGGCAATGTGGATGTGGATACAGATGAGAATGAGAATGAGAGGGAGTGGATGAGTATGAATGGGTGGGTGGTGTTTGGAATTTCTATCTCTTGAGTAAGTATGGGTGTGAATGTGAATGTGGAAGTGCGATGCAATGAGAGGAGACGAGAGGAGGTGGATCAAGTTATGGTATGAAGAAGGGAGGAGGATGTCAACAGGGTGTGATAATTGTGATGAAGATTATATAATAGTAATATAGATTGAAGTCGATGTTGAGCTGCTGGTATCGTGAGGGGTCGAATTGAGAAAACTATGGAGGGATAATAGAGGAAGGGGGGATGCTAAGTACATATATGGACGTGATGGGTAGAGATGGATGGCTTTTTATCTTCGAGAAGGATATCGGTAGAAGAGGGTTTTGTATCTTTTCAAATAGCTTGATGAATTGATGGAGTTTGTAGAAAAGAAAAAATTAGAGAAGACAGTGATGATGAATAAACATAATCAACTACCTAGTATATGAAATTCATCTCCATCGCGATCTCTCTCTTATTATTGTTTCCAAGTCCCCAAAGCCCACCTACAAAATCTTCAGAGGATAGATAGTTTTCCAAAAATTGAGAGACGATGCGTTTTAGATATATTGTTAAAAGCGAATCTGAAATTCATCAATCATCACATGATCAAATACCCTAGTCTTCGTGGCTCAGTTGGTTAGAGCGTTGGTCTCATATTCCTATATGAGGTGATTGATAACAGTCACTTTAGCCATCCAAAGGTCGAGAGTTCGAGTCTCTCCGAGGACATTTGATTCTTTCATTTTTTATTATTTTTATGGTGCTTTTTTGAGGTGTGGTTTTTGGGATGTGGGAGAGAGGGGGGGAGGGATATGGTGGGTAGAGAGGAGAGGAGAGAAGGGGACCGACGGAACATGTGTGGATCTGTAACAGTTTGGATTGGAGTTTGAGGTTTGAGATGGAACCAGTTCTGGGCGGTCGGTTTGGTGGAAATCGATGATGGATGGATGGCTCGTCGATTGACGAACAATATTGGTTACCTAGGTAGGTAGTAGGTAGTAGGTAGATAGAGAGATAGGTGGGGAGATAGCATCAGGTAGGTGATGATCACACAAGCAACATCATACATTTTGAAGCAAGAATGAAATAGTGATAGAGAATATATGTAGATCAGGGGTATCAGGACAAGGACTTTGATACTCCAAAGTTTCAAAGCAGAAAAGATAGGCCGGCAGACAAGAATGAAAGTTTATCACAAATGCATCCACATCTCGCCCGTTTGTAAACTGCAGACTATCTATCTATCCATCGAAGGTGATATTCGATGTTGATAATTTTGTGGTGTGATGCGATATCAACCAGGTGACGAGTTCAAAGCATGCTCATGAGAAACTTCCGCACAGAAGAGGACGAATAACAACATATTACTGGATCATGAACCGCGCAATATGTGACGAAATCAAGAGCTTGAAATTTCTTCAATAATAGCCTCTACTTTTATTTCCTGAAGTTAACGCGGGTAAATGAAAAGAGACACAGGTACATACCAAAGCCTATCAAATGGAAGAAATAATTCAGAGTAGGGAAACACTCTCAACCATTGAACTGAACTCTAATGAGAAAGAGGTAAAGAAGCCGCGTCTATCCAGCATCAACGCGGTAACCTGATGAACGACGCGACCGGATACCTCTTTGGTTCGAGCTTCAATCTCTCTCCAATTTCGGTGTTTCTCAAAACGGATGGGGATTTGGGAATGGGAGAAGATCTTTGCTCAGTTAAGGGGGAGGCTTAGACTGTGGAGCTTGGCTCTTATTTCATCAAGGTCTTGGGACCTGGATGGATAAAATAATGGATTATGAAATGGGTATTGGAGGTGGAGATGTGAATGAAATGATCGGTACATGGATGATGATGATGATGATGATGATAAACGAGGTATGGATGTGGAGCTTGTGTATTTTTTATTTTTGGATTTATTTTTGGGAGGAAAGCGAAACAAGGGAGAGGGGAGGAGGAGAGGGAGACGTTGATGTTTCGATTTTCTTGGTGATGGAAGATGTGCATAGGTAAGAAAATAGAGGTTAGAATTTTACTTTGATAGAATTTTACTTTGAATTAAACGGAGATTGAGATAATGATATTTAAGAGAAGATAAAAGATTGAAATATCGAAGTTGTTGCTCAGATCTCAGGCATCCTCATGATTGCCGGGTGCGAATGGGTACGATTCGTCACATTCAGTACTAATATTCACAACGTTTCGTACACAACCTCTATACCATGGCAACCTCCAACGAACCAGATCCTCGATTCGACGGCCAAGTATTGACCTACAAACCCGAATCAATCATAGTCGCAATAGAAACCTACTACAAAGCCCTAAGCAAGCTTCCCTATGTCGACGAATCTGACATTGTCTCCCCTCCCACATTTGGCTGGCCGAATATCACAGAATCCAACTTCGCACCGCTAGAGAAGACTAGTGCTGTGATTGACCTTCTCAAGCACCTTCCATATCTGCAGAATCCAGACAAGGAGAAAGGCTATGCGATCGCGTTTGGGACATTTCCCATTGATTACACTGCTGCACCATTCAGAGAGCCGATTGATATACAGGAAGCAAAGAATTTCAAGCCTGACCTTGCATGGCCAGAAGATGCAGTCAAAAGCTGGGTCATCCCCTTGACGATGAGTGAGGACAACTATTGGGGGAACTGGTGGCTGCTCGATACTACTGATGGTAAATTATAGTTCTCGTGGTCTTCCTTGGACCTTTGCTAAGGGCATCAAGGCACTGTGACAGATTGGGCACATAGCAACTCTACCGAAGCCGACGTCGACTACGCCCCCGATGACCCGAGGTCATGGCGCAATACATGTGGGGAGACGAAGAAGCTTGAGGATCTCTTGGCTGAATGGAGAAGCAAGTTCGAAAGCTTGCACTGGGTTGCCTTTGGAGATCCCACTGGGAGGGAGAAGGTCTGGAATGATGAAGATATACAGAGAGATGAGGGTACGGAGCACTGTGAGGAGCTGCAAGCTATCATCAGAAAACACGGATGGCCTGAGGATCTCAAGAGGCAGGAGTGTAAGGCAGCGTTGGAAACGTGGGTGGAGGATCATCAGACCTAGAAGACGAGCTGTCAGGACGGGTAGCGTTTTGACATTTTGTGTAAATGAGTAAGGTTTGCTGGGTTATGCTGGATAGGAGGGTTCGCAGCATGAAAAATGTAAAAGTAGACAGAAGGGTAATTTTGAGTGCAGAGAAATGTAATTCTACGATAGCGAAGTGTAATTCTACAATTCTCTTGGGCATAATTCACAAATTTGACAAAGTGTGTTCAAAATAGAATCATGATGAATATCTTTATCAAGGTCTAGATCCATCAGTCATCAAGGAGATGAAAAGTGGGGCTGAACTAGTAAGATGAACACTATGAAGGGATTATTAATTTCGAAATTGAGTTTGGGGGTTTCTCAACTTTTCGCCGGTTGTAATCGTCGGGGATTAAATCCATTTATTTTGTACACGATGCTCGAGAGTTTAGACTTTGGATAGTTTTCACGTTCGGTTCTCGGTATGTGTTGTGGAAGCATCCGTCGAGATGGTATTGCAAATTCGGTAAAAGTTTAAGAGCTTTAAACTTCTCGCGATGAAGGACTTGTGGTGAATGCAGCAATGATATAGAACATTGGAACATTACCATCTACTTTTGTAGGAAGTTAAAACGAATGAAAGTTTTGAGGGTAGATTAATTAGCTTTCGAGTAGAGGATCAATAGACAATATAAAATTTACTCCGAATTTTTAATCTACGTTGAATGAGATTTCGATCTGGTGGCTGTGAAGAAACGTACAGATTCTAGAGCAACGTGTGGCATCGGCAGCTGTGATCAAGCGAGGGGGCATAGTAATTTCCAGTGCCTGGCTACCTACCGGAACGGGCCATTCAATGGATGGTACAATAGTACAATGTACCAATTTAGGGAAGATTTAGAGAAGATTTAGAGAAGATTTAGCGCTCACGAAAGGATTGTTTGTACCTACTGGGTATCCAATGTAATCTACTCCTCTAGGATGAGGTGCCATTCTGACATACGCAATGGATGTAGCTTTGTAGTTTGTCCATCTGTATGCGGAGATCCGGATATCAGAGGATGGGTCATATGAATGGAAGAATTTCATACAGGATAGTATAATATTCTAAGAATAGTTTGAACTCGGATGTTTGTGGTAGACTGTCTCAAGACAAACAGTCGTAATTTCGTCGTGGTAATCATCGAATGATCTATCTGTTTGGCTGAAGCCTTATGATGCAAGGTAATTGTAAGACGTCTCACTCAAACCTTATGTGCTACATAGACTCAAGATTGTGCGGTTATTCTCATGTTGAGTCTAATAAGTCTACACAGCATTAGCAACGTAAGAAGCGTAATCGGAGTCGAGTGTAATCGCTGTGGATGTTGCATATGTTCAAGATGGTATGTATGCTCATCGGGCTGAATACTACCTGGTTACCAATGATGTGATGGGGGCAGTAAGATGACTGTTTGGCTGCTTATTCTTCAGCGCAATGGTGGTATGAATCGATGAATCCTTTCGTTGATGATTGGAGGACTAAGCAGAATTACACCGAAGACTTGGATATTGATAATTTGATCTTGATCAAAGCGAAGCATGAATGGTATTGGATGAATCTTTGATACGTTCAACGTTATCCTCGAAGAAATAAAGGGTTGCATTGCATTACTGCACCTCTGTTAATCAGGGGTAATGGGTCTGTCGGCAATGAGAAGATCAGATCGATTGGCCCCCGTCTTCCCTATCCTTTCTATGCTATCCACTGAGTTATTACTGTTGATGTGGCATATATGCACATTGGCGCGCACACGCAGAGTTTCGGCAGCAAAATCAACAGATAATAGTCCTGTTATTGAGTTTATTGGCTTAGAATGAAGCGGTTGACGATTCATAATTACTGTGCAAGGGAACAACATGAGTGTGAGGCAAAGATTGGATGGACAGAACATCGAAATTTGGGATTGCGTTAACTGATGATCCACCCTGAGAAGCATTCGACCAATCAAAATTGAATTGTACCTGAAATTGATTCCGCTTCCATTCTATCTCTCCACTTTTTTGAAGAGACTATTCTCCATCGGTAATAGTACCAGGTTCGTCCGTCCTCCCGCACTAACTCCAAATGAGTAGCGCGTCCATTTTTTCCGTCTTCACATCCTTATCCTGGTTCAACGGTAGCAGTCACTACCAATTTGAGTCAAAACTCATTTTCCCAAGTGAAGTGAAAAGAGTAAGAACCAAGCACTAATGAAGATTGATTCTGGTGAAGGGTAAATTCTATTGTTTACTATTATTGCTAAGGGTAAATCTTAATTCATAGTCTACCACCTCTCCATTGGATCTCAATTCTCGTTCGAAAGACTTTCCATCTCAAAATCTGAAGAGTAAACCTAATTCTTCTCCTCTTCCACTTCCACCCCCAGCTTACTCCTCAATTTCAATCCCAATCCCGGACATCATTAAGCCCAATTACTACTGTGATCGTTTATCTTTCACTGTCGGGGGTTCCAACCTCTTTCGACCCTTTTGATCCATTCTATCTCCCATACGGTCCATCCCTCGTTTCCCCCCCTTCGAACCAAACCTCTTCCAGCGGCCTTCCTTGATTGCACATCTTTTTCCTTTTCTTCTTCCGGTATTCATCTAAACCCTAATGTTTTGATATTGCCATCTGGGCCTTATAGAAAGAATGGCGTCCGTCGCAGATATACAACCAGAAGCTCACCCCTCAACTCCTGATTCTGAGACTCATTACGCTTCGAATACTCAATTGAATCCATCTGATCTCACGGACTCAACTACCCCGGTCACCATTCCACAGCCAAATCCACATGAAAACCAACATCGGCCAAATTCTCGACCAAAGAATCCTACACATTCGCAGTTCTCACAAACACAGTCAGCCACAGCCCGATCGCGCGCATATTCAACTGCTTCCACGTCGTCAGTAAATTCCGTTCGTCGCAAACCTCTACCTGTAAGTGCCTCGCCCTTGGCAACCAGGTTTTCCACCAGGTATTCCACGGCGGAATACTTCAGTCCATCTATCGAAGAATTACCAGAGCCGGATCTTCCATATTCTCGGTATACGAATGTTGCAGATAGTCCAACACTTTACGAATTTCCATCGGATATAAAAAGCGCTTTGCCATTTTCCCCAGAAAGTTCTAGCAATAGAAATTCCATCCGAAGTTCAATAAGAAGTTCAAGGAGCTCCAAAAGTTCTAAAAGCTCTAAGAGTGTTTCGAAACAAGAACGTCCATCATCAAAGTATGTTTACTGGGCATTCACCATTTCTGACATCTGATCAAACTTATTCATTGTTTCATGTTGATGCTAAGACTGCTTAATTAGGAGATTCTCGAGCGAACATATCGCTTGGACTTCAGTGACGCCAACGCTACCAGAACAACCAACAGATAACGAAGAACAACCAACAGATAACGAAGAACAAATCCTTAGTCCAAAAAGTCCGAACCTTTTAGTTCCGTCTCAAACACGTCCACCGGGAGCCTCGAGGCATGAGAGATTGGTTAGTGATTCGCCATTAAGTTCTGATTCTGAATCTACCGGTCATTGGTACGGGGATTCAAGTCCAGGAAGTCGTCCGGGTTCTGCTACTATGTCCATTTTTTCATCCAAAGCTACACCACCACATAATATTATACCTAATGCTCCGGCACGAACCTATACTCACGAATCTCACGACTCTATATCAACTATACATAAACCTAAATCACCGGGGAAACTTGGTTCTTTCTTTAGTAGCTGGGGAGGTGCCGTATCCCCATCGAGTTCAACGACAACCTTTTCGGAAGATAAGGCAGATTATTCACCAAACTCACCCATACCGTCGTCAAATGCATCTCCGCACAAACTTTCGGAATTTGAAGACTCCCTTTCGAGGACACATACTAAAGCGCCACCGGCCGCAATCGATATTCCCAAAGCCAATGCAGATGCTGCCCATTACTTCGAAAACGCATATCTACAAATACCCATAGCGACGCCTAGTCCACCGCCTTTACTAGTCGAAGAGATGGAGCGAGAATTGAAAGAAATTAGCCAAGAGCTAGCATCTTCCATACGAAGGGAGATGGACCTGGAAGATCTTGTAGACAGGTTACAGCTCGAGGCCCAAAATTCAGGAACAAACAGTAGCAAGCGAACAAGTGATTATTTCTCTGATTCTGGAACAAGTGTGATTCCCAGATATGGAGAACCCGATCCTAAGCAGGATGAGCTTGACCGAATACAGAGAAAGACAGAGCAAGAGAAGGCTTCTATCAAATTAGAGCTTACAGATAAGCTACAAGATGAGAGAGCTATAAGAAAGCAACTCGAAACACAAATTCGGTCTTTGGAAGAAAGAGCAGCTCAGGTAATTTTCTCTAAATTAAACAGAAATGAATACAACTAACATAACGGCTTAGGTTGATCTTGCAGCTATAAATTCAGTGGATGCCAATGGGCGACTTAAAGAGTTGGAGGCAACTTGTGAGGATCTTCGACGCAAACTGTCCGAAGAGAAACAGATCAGGGAAAACTTTGAAGATCTTTTGACTGCACTCAAAGGTGATCTTGAAACCTCACACAACGAGCGTGATAATTTACGAGATGAAATTGTTCCTCAGCTCAAGGCACGTGTTGAAGGACTTGAAGCACAAGCTGCAGAACATGAAAAGTTGACTTACGAGCAAAGCAAGATGAATCAGGAAATCCAACTTCTAAAGAAGGAGAATACCACATTGATCAATGCCCAAAGGCTACAAATGGAGATGAACCAATTCAACACCCTTTCGGAAGAAGACGGCATAAGCAATCTACCCAGGTCGAGATCATCCATAATGAGCATTGGTGGCATCAGTGGACTCGGTGGTTTGAGTAGTGGTCTAGGTGGCTTGAAACGGGCCAACTCTCTCGCACACACTGGCAAAACTGCCAGATCACCTGGGTTATCTAGGACAACATCCGTCAAGACTGCTGAGTCTAGAGAAGCTTTGGCAGAAAGAGTAAAGGATATTGAACTCCAACGAGATTCGTTACATCGTGCTCTTAAAAGTTTGCTTGAACGTCAAGAGCACCAGAATCGTGAAAATGAAAAGAAAATTCGACAACTGGAAATGGAAAGAGATCGCGCTATGAACCAATCCCCGAGGCGGCAAGGATACGATAAGGAAGTTTCAAATCTTAGAGAGGAAATCAATACCCTTCGTCGCCGTGCTGATGAAGCAATTGAGCAGAAGTGGCAATGTGAAAAAGGTCTAGGTGGTTTGAAGATGGATCTCGATCGCGCTGAACAGGAGATCGGCTCGCTACGAAGCTTGTTACAAGAGAAGGACATATTAATAAAACGATCTAGCACAGATTCTAGTCCCGGCAGCTCACACGCAACCTCCGAGACACTTGAGCGATCGTACCGGGATCTTCAAGCGGCTTACTCAGCTTCCCTGGAGCGAATCAAGGCCCTTGAAACCTCAGCCTCTAATGACGAGGATACTGCAAGAGCTATGGAGCAGTTGGAGAAAAGCTTGTCTGACGCAATTACTGAAAGAGATGTTGTAAAACAAGAGCTTGAGGCAGTCAGAGAGCAATCGGAATCTTTGAGAGATTCCGAGAAGGTACATCTTCAAGAGGAAATGCAATTGGCAGATGAGCTACGTGAATCAGCCAGACGAGTCGAGGAATTAGCTGGACAAGTCAGACTGCAACTTGCTTCAAATAGCACTCTCAGACAGCGCCTAGCTGACGCTATTGAGCGAGGAGAGAAGGAGCAGAAAGCCAATGCGCAAAAGATCACATTCCTTCAAACTAAGCTCAGAGCTCTCGAGGAGAAGCTTATGGCTGCTCAGAATATTTCTGAGGTCAGAATTGCTCGTCATGAAGATGAGATTCGTGATATCAAGGATAGTCATAATATCCAGCTTCTTCGCGTGAAGTCGGAACTCCGTTCCCCTCGTTCATTCGGGCCTAAATCGCCAATGTCTCCTTTGTTTGCAAATGCGAAGAAGGTACCGCGTCTTTCTATTACCACATCCGGAAAAGGAATGTCGGTATCCGAGGACTCGAAGGTTGAGATTTTAAGACAACAAGTTGTAAACCTTGAAGCTGCTCTTGCAGAAGCAGATAGAGAGATGGAGGAAGTTGTCGGCCGTATGAATATCGCACAGATTGAAGTAATGGAACTACAGAACGAAAGAGAAGAAGCTGTACGTGAAACGAGGAAATTACAGAAGACGATTGAACAAGAAAGATTGAGAGCTTTCGAGGGGAGATTCGCTACTCTTAACTCTTCATCATAATGAATTTGGGGGGTGTTGAGGTAGAGGGTGGTTTTAAGATTGTTTCATCAAGCGGCTTTAGCGTTTGTCAGTCTGGTAGTGATTCTACATCAGCATTTTTACTATATTGATCACCCAAGAGCTCCGGAATTGATGAGTCTCAATGGATGGGTGAATATGGAGTTTTGTTTATTATTGATTGGCATTATTTTTTTAGTCATTGACAAAATGCATCAAATGGGATGGGCCAGTTTGGTGGCTTTTGCATCATATTATATATACTAAGGTCGACAGATATCTTGGTGGAGTCGAATGGTATTTTATCTAATATTGTTTCCAGGGTGGTGAAACAACTGAAGAGTTGTGGTCAAGGGAATGGAGACGGTTGTAATTATTTTGGTAATAAGCCTCGTGGAGACACAGGGGTAGATACATATGGGTATAGGGATAAATGAGAAGCAATGGCTTATATGGTTATTTGTTGTATATTGTATATACTGGATTTCTAGATACCAGATGGAACGAAGGGAGGAAAGGGAGAAGAATCAATTGGTTGGTTGCAAGTAACTTACTTGATCTTGGAATCAAACTGGAATGAACGGATCGTGTTGAATCAACTCTTTGGTGCTTTTATTGTCGTGACTTCAAGTTTGTGTTTTTTTTCTGGCTTTGAAGGCGAGTTGTTAGGGTGCCATCAGGCCTTTGCAATAGGGTGCGTAGAGAAAATGGAATTTGCAAGTCTTCGTTCTATCTGGAGAAGTCTCTAGCGCGTATTGCATACGATCGAATGGGTAGAGTGAGTATTATGTATTCCTGAAGTGGCTGTGGTGCACAGCCTAGATTTGGTTATGATCAAGACTGACTGTCCACCAATCATAAATTACTCCCCAGCCTCATTGGTGAGATTATGAATAAAACCTTGGAATAAAATTGTCAATATTTCTCATGATGTGATCGTTTCATCTATCTCATCTTTTTAGAGGATACTAAGATGGCATCGATTGAGATATCGACTCATTTAGAGTCGCGCTCACCAACTTCGGCAGGACAAGATCTCGTTGTATCCTCGAGTGAACCTCTCGCAATTGATATTGATACTTCTCTAAGCAACCCCGCATCGATTGATATGTCAACTCAAACAGGGTCAATTGATGTATCAATCCAAACAGAGGTGCGCCTTCCAACTTTGACAGGACATAATCTTGTTGCGTCTTCGAGCAAGCCTCCCACAACTGATACTTCTCTGAGCAACCCCGAATCTCTTACTTCTTCTGGAGCAGATGATTTGAACGCTGATCCGGTGATTTCGGCACCACAAGTCACACCTACAAAATTGGTTCTCCTCCAGGCCCTGTGGGGTTGGTTGAAAGACACAGAAATAAAAAGTAGCCCGTTAACGCTAGCTATAACGTCACTTGGTCTTATCGCCGCAGTAATATATGGAACCTCTACTTGGATGCAATCGAGCACTGCTGCCGAATCTACCGCAAAAGCAAACCGGTTAGCTCTTTGCACGGCATGTGTATCATTTCCAGATCAACCGGTAAGTCACAAGTCACATTTTATGTCGTGTAACTACACACCAAAACATAGCTCGCTGATCAGTTCTAGAATATCGTCAATTCGTATTTCTGTAGAGCAAACCGCGATGCTAGCTTAGATGCATTTTCTAAACGCGACGTAGCAGCCATCAGTCTGCCGGTATTATGGGATATGGATGTGCTTGCAGAAGCTCTGGAAATTGTACAACCTGCCTGGCAATGTAAAGCTGTGTGTGGACAGGAAAGGGTGCTTCATCCGCCAGACTTAAATCTCATGCTCTCTATTCCGATATCGAATGGCGAAATTTGTCACCTCGACTGTCTTGAACCAATTCAGACGACAACTTTTGAGAAAAAACATGGCCAATCAATGTTCAATGCAATAGGTGTTATCATGTTATTCTCTTCAATTGCACCGATATTATCTAAAAAGTATCCTAACGTCTACGCCATCGCCAGTGTCCCTATACTTGTAACGTATTTTGTGATAACCCCGGTCTCGTTGATATATTTCTTTTGTATATTATAGTTCTGAACTGTCTCATCAAACTATCACGTCATCAATTGCTTGCCGATTTGTCAGCTTAGGCTTGAAACAGCTCGCCTAGGTCAAGATAATAGGCCTCATTCTTTCAGTCTGCACCGTCTTTACCGTGGCCCGCTCAACAACAATACTGCACTTCTTCTGGTCACCCAATTCATCGGTTCTTAACCTGCAGTGTTCCATTTGCTGAGTTCATCTTTGGCTTGTCCAGGGAAGACAGCTCTCTTGTCTCTTTTCTGCAGAATAATGTGCAAGTGTCGCCGTGGATTCAATGTTTTAAGGAAATTATAAGACTACTTAGTGATATTCGGCCGCCACGAGTATATTTTCTAGCTGATACGGGTTTGAATATGGTTCTACGCAAACAGCCGCGGAACAGAGTCGAAGTAAAGAGAGAGAAAACAGACTAGGGAAGAACTGCAAGCTGAGGGGAGAGTAAATAGTTTGACTTTCTTTCAACACTTACTTTCTATGTAAGAGTTATGGCCCTGGCTTATCACACACTTAGCGAAAACACACCAAAAACCCTCATTTTTTCAACTTTTTAATTATATATTATTTTGATATATAAATAGATTGAATTATTGAAACTGATATAAATAATAAAAAATCAATAAAATAATTCAAAAAAATAAATAAAATATTTTTGATAATTTTTTGTAGAAAGTTAGAGGTTTTTAAAATTAGAATTTCTGAAAAATTAAAAAAAGAGATTTTTTTGTATAGAAAAAATATTATATATTAAAGATTTTAAAAATCTTCAATTTTAAATACTTATAACTTTATTCAAAAAATTATTAAAAATTATTCACTCATTTTTTAGGAAACTAATAATAACTAATATTTATATAACCAATTTTCAAATTATATCTTTGATTCATTAAAGAATTAAAAAAAAAATTAATTTATATAGAAAAACGATATTTTTGCAGGGATTTTGTCACGAAATAGAGTGGTGTGCGATAAGCCGGGGCCACAACTCTTACATATTATTATATACTACAATATCATCATGTTTCAATTTGAATTGTTGGATTAAGGCTTCATGGCAGTATTCTGTTCCTAGTGAATTGATCGTTTAGCTTGCGTGCTACAATAAAGCTTTGACTAGTATTTATAAGAATATTATTAATCTATATTTTGTTGCTCTAGCCCCCCTCGAGCCCCCTTGCCCCACACGCTCGCTATTCATTCGCTTCGCTACGCTTAATGAAAGTGTAATGAGATACTTATATCACTACAACGCATCTATTGATATCACCTCGGTGGTGATCATGACGTCTTCGTAATAAGTCTAATCCAACGTTTGATATTGTAATTATTCTTTTCTAGGTTCTAGAGCTACGAGAGCTATATGCAAAACGTTTGTGCGCTAACGCTAGCGTGTGCGCTCACGTGAATATTCATTCGTGTCGCAACAGCAACTCATCGTACTATCTATTTGTTACAATTTTTGTTTTTGAAAGACATATTCACTGTTATTGACTTGATTTGTTTGAACAGTTGGTTTCATTGATCTGCTACGCCTCAACCTTTATAATACATTGTGTCGACGTCAAACTCTCGTCTCCGATATTCAAGATTACAGTGGTAAAAAAGGTGTATGGTAGGTTATCAGACGAATAGTCGCGAGGAGATTGAATGACTATTGTCGTTATTCGTAGTGTGTAAGCATATCAGACACAGCATCACACTACGATCATAAGGCCAGGACTTAGAATTGCATTCTGTTTACTATGTAGGACAAGAAATTCGCTCCACACTCACGGTACCTAAATTTTACCCTGAAATCATAATTTCAATAGCTGGTAACTTAGTTTTCGCCTTTGCAAACATCTTAATTCTACTCCTCCTTCGTAAAATTACACCTCTATGATCTATCCTTCTTTTACCTAGTTGTGCCTCACAAACAAACACTCAACGATCTCAATATATGGGGTTGGTAACTGGCCTCCCTAATTCGCTCACTGTCATCGAATTCGGATTTTCCCACACAGGAGGAAGGTGGACCTAGAAGCCTATTGCTCCCTAAACACTATGACATACTTTCGAGAGTCTACTACTGCAACTTGCACATAATATCCAGGATCGGCAAACAATATCACCCTAGATGTTATTGAACCTGATGAATTATCTCTTGCATTTGACTACGTGAGAAAATTGACATCAGGATGGACTTCCCAAAGCCTTCATTTGTATGCAGACTTTTTTTTCTCACCTTGCGGTAATGTTTACGGCTTGTTGAGAATGTTCATTCTATACTTCCTCTCCATCTTCGAAAGTTTGATGTTTGAAAACATGACACATTTATGTTGGTAGTGTATTGATTTATAGCGGATATTTGTAATCATGAAAATGGCTAGCAATATGATGAATCCAATTTCTCAAATATACCTATCTAGGTACTTTTAGATGAAATATGAAGGATGCCTGACTTGGCAATAAGATGTAGCTGGGAACGGTGCTTTGTTGATACTCCCAATGCATGTGCCCTTGCCTTACTGTCCGATACATGGTTTTGAAAGGTTATGCAATTTGATTCAACTTATTGATCAAATTCATGTAAAAGTTTGATGTGTGCAGGTTGGGGATTACTTCACTCAAGAAGCTCATTGCAGGTCCTCAAGCCTATTCCTTTTGGAGGGCAGTTAGACACTAGTCTTTTCTCTATCCCGAAATTGAAATACAAGCTTTTCTTGCTTGGGATCACCCTCCGTCGTAAAATTTATATCCAAAGAACCTTGGCGGATATAAATTTACAATCATATGTTGCTGTGCCTGGCGGACTTTTGTTCTTTACAACCTATATCCATATTCCAAACTCCATCATTGCAAATGCACGCTTCGCTTTCCTTCCAATCCCAATCCTTAACAAACAAGATATTCCTTTTCACATCCACTCTTCTTCAAAAGTCATACGCAACAATGCTAGCTTCAATCACTATCCTCCCCATTATCCAGCGCTTCGTCATCTACCTCTTTTTCTTCTGGCTCCTCAACATCAAATTTCTCCTCTCCGTCGTCGTCTTCTCTTGCTTCACCCTCCCCTTCTTCATCATCCTCGCCTTCCTCTCCCTCCACCTCTTCATCATGCTCTTCATCTGCATCCATTTCGTCGTCATGTTCTTCTTGTGCCTCCCCACTGCCCCCACTGCTCCCATCTCGCCTGACCTTTTTAGCCTTTGGTTCTCCATCCCCTTCTCGATCCAACATTTCCGAATCGCCCTCTCCGTCTTCACCTCCCGCTTGACTTCCAGCTACTTTGTCCGCTGCGACTTTCTTTCTATATGTATTTCTTTTGTCGCTTTGCAATTCGATAAACTCTGATATTCGTTTATTCGTGATTAGCATGTGGTATTTCCCTTGGTTTGCCTTCCAACAAACGCCCATAACCACACAATACAGAATGGAATACTAACTCGCAAGTTCCGCCTCCAACCTTGGTTTAAAATCAGGAAATTCTATATCATCCAACGCCTTAAAAACATCTTGCGGCGCTATCGTTTTAACACTTCGGCTGTGTGCGTTTTCATTGGCACTATTCCATTCCAAATCGCATTAGCAATCTGCTCACACAATCTCTCCCGCTTCCCTTCTTCATTTCTCTCTTAAACATTCGTTTTCAGTGTTGCCCGAATATCCAATCGCTTTTGCTCCTCTCAATCCTCCGAATCTCCAAAGAACCCTAATCTACTCACTGTGTAGCCAAATAATTAACAAAAATCGTCGCGCTCTTTCCCATCGCCAACATTGCATTTCCCTGAATCTGCGTGTTGGGCGGCAACACGCTCTTCGCCAATCGCGTTACGATACTTTTCGGGAGACTAAGATCCTGCCCATCACCACGTGTATTAGTTTGATGTATAGTCCGAATGCGAGGAGAGAAATCGAAGTAATTGAGGTCACTCAGAGTCAATGGAACCCAATTCCAGAAATTCAATCGAAGAGAAGAATTTGGAGTCTGGTCCGTCTAAAGAAAGTAATTATAAGAACAAACCTCAATACTAATTCCTTCTCGAACTACCGTCGTTTCTTTGACAGGTGTAGCTTCATCTCCAACGACCGGCTTCGCGACATCGCTCTTTCGTGGCGGCATGTTGAAATATTCGTATTCGTGAGAAGGAGGAATTAGGATGTCCGGTGGTAGTGACGTCGAGGATGGGAATAGTAGTTTGATTTATGGGTTTGACTTTGAGCAAATGCGATTGGGCAATTCATTTCTCAATTGAGAGGCGGTGAAGTATTTAAGCCTGGGAAACACGCTGACGCGAAATTCCGTGTAGAGTCACGTGAAAGTATTATTACTGTGGCTTCTGAGGGGTATGGCTTCCAAGGTTTGAATTGTTAGTGAGGCTGTAGAAAGTTCAACGTATTTTGCTGAGGCTAGCAGAGTACTCGGACAACGTTACTTCGACTTTTTCAGATGTATGAGCGCAATGTACAGATTTGAAGCATTTAGAAACTTGGAATAAGTGAAGCCAAAGCTTATTTGTGTATTGATTTTATATTTAATTTGTCATATCTGCATGCTACATCATGCCTCTGTGTATTTCTTCTGTTGCTTCAGTCACCAGACTGTGCATATCATAAATAAAATCTCCCATCGAGTGGTGAATTTCAAATTCCCATTCTACAGTGCAAACAATGTTGCACCGATCAGCACGGTTTCTTCCCCGAGTTGTCAATCTCCATCAATATAAACAAATCCTCCTTGGTATCAATATAAGTAACCCCCATCGTTTATAATAAACTAACTCCACTGCCCCCATAACCAAACAATGCATTTAAACAAAAAAAGAACTGGCGTCCAGGCCTAATACTATGAGATGGCCAACCCAATCTCACGGTCGCTATCCCAGAATGACGGGTGCGCAGCACGTGGTGGTGGTCTTGGTGATAATGATGTGACTGGCCCAGGCGTCCCCGGGCCTGGTGTCATTTCTCGGAATGACATGGGTGAATCGTTGTAGTCTCTGTTGTGGCTGTAATCTCTGTGGGTTCGAAAGTCATCTTCTGGATCGTACCATGTCGCTACCCTGTCATTGGCTCTCAATTCTTTTGATTCGCCTCCATTGCCACTTTTGATACTCCACATACTTCTCGCACTCAAACTACTCCTCCTGCTCTTCGTACGTGAATGGCCTCCTGACTTTGATAACCTTGATCTATGTCGTTCCGCTGGTTTGATAAATGGTTCTGCACCCGGTATGATTTCGTCGGTAAGACCAACTCTAGCGTTCGGAGCCTGAGCGAGGAAAGTAGGGGTATCAGGTACGTATCCTGAGATACCTGAAGGGTAAAAAGTAGATCGTGTTCGAGTGGATGTAGGAGAAGCAGTCCACGTCCAACCCGGAGAGTGCGCCATTTGTATTGTGTTGGATTGAAAGTAGTCTCGACCTCCAGTCTCCTTGTCGAATACCAAGTCCTCGCCCATAAACACCTTTCTTTCATTCCCAGAGCGTCGCCATGATTCGATTTCGCTGTCGTCTATCGGAGTCACTCCTCTTCCACTAAAACTACGTTCCCTTCGATATCGCCTGAGAAGATATACAGCAATTGAAACAACTATGATAGCGAGTGTACCGAGGACAGAAGCGAGAATTATGATCAGCGTATTGCGATTTGTACCAGAGCTTGTGGATGAAGTTGCTGTTTGAGTCGATTGAGCATCACTCGTTGTGGCTGTTGATGCAACTTCGGCATTGCCCGTAAGGTGCTCTGTTCCAGAAGTTGAAGAGGCTGATAGAATAGAAGAGATAGCGATTGTGTTTGTGATCAATGATGTGGCTGTAGATAACGTGGATGTCGATTCATCCTTCCTCGATGTCGAGAACTCTGGTTTTGTTGTGCTAGGAGATGTTGAAGGTGATGGTTCTGATATCGAGAAACCATTTATAGCAACGAGTGTTTGAGCGGATGATAGAAGAAATAACATCAACATTGCGAACAATAAGTGAATGCCCCGCATTATGATGAAGTGAGGTTGCTTGGCCAAGGAGCAAGTATCAAGCTCGATTTATATTATCAAAACATTGTTATCAGTCGTTGGACTGTTGAACCGACTGGGTCCTTTTGTTACTTCTCACTTCTTGGTCTTGATTGAAAAATGGTGTAATGAATATGAAATGTAAGTGAACGAAAGAGGATGAAAAAGGTTAGGGTTCAAGAGAAATAAGTGAACGAGTCTTATTAGGATCTATTGATCCTCAGAGACCAGCCCAAATACCCTGACAGATCTAGTTCAGACGTAATGAAGGTCCAAGATCAACTCAAGATGTAGGCACCAGTACCTATATAAGAATAATAAAACTTGCAATGATCGTATCCGGTACTTGGAGCTACTTTTTCAAGTGGAGAAAGTGTCTGTGTTGGACTATGGAGCGGCATAAGTGTCTTACCTATGGTCTGTGAGGTCGGGATCATTTGATGGATGGATGCGTATGTGTTGTTGTATGGTATGATGGTATCATCGAACAAACAAAGAACTGAACTGAGCTGCAGGTGGGTGTGCACTGTGCAGAAGTGCAGAATTATTAGATCCTTGCCCATCTTTCCGACCTTGGGCGGTCAATCCACCCACCCGAGCCACCCAGCCTGATCGAGGACCCAGGGGTAAGTGTAAACTATTCTTGGTGGGGTGAACAAACACTGAAATCAATATCCATTGGCTCCAAGAGTTTCCCTGGTTCAAAACCAATAGTCTTTGGAGACCATTGAGTGGTTGATGTTGAGCTGTTTTCCGATGTAACCTAGTTGAAGTCCTCGGAGATTTTGTATAGTCACGGAAGTGAACGAATGACAGCTTGACATGATATTTGACGCCATTGCCGAAACGTGCCTCGCATATCGAGTTACAAGGTACGTGACATGGAAAAAACTTATGGCTGGGGTTATACAATTCAAGAGTGGATTAAAATGATTTCGAAGCTAGTCAACAAGAGGAAGGGCTCGAGCGTGATGGAGTGGTTGATATTGAAAAGGTCTGGGTTTGTCATTTGCTAATATAGAAACTAGACCGTGCAGAAACATGCCGAGAAGAAGTGGATAATTCTATCAATTACCCTGTTCGAACTTCAATCTTCGACAGACGAACTCTTCGGATCTTCAACGGATTTTAACCACAAAATACCACGTTCGCCGCCGCAAAATATGCACATCTAGAGCAAGTCATCAAAGTGACAGTGCAGTCAGTTGACTCACTGCAACATCAACAGTGATTGGTGGTAGACGATAGCTTGGGAGGTCCCGTATCGTAGGATGAAATCGAGAGATAAGGAAACTTCTATTAATTCATGCAGCCAGCAATTATTATCACGATGACATGGAATATTCCCGAGAGAAAAAAAGAATCATGAATCAAGTCACAGAAGGCTTCCCGAGATTTAATATTGTGATTTCGACGGGAAGAGATATTGAAGCGATGAAGCGGTGAGTAAGGAACTCAAGTCATTCAGTGCAGTAGTCAACGGGGCGATAATTATAAATCGCCTTCAAATTCATTTAGCACGCAGTCCAATTCAGCCCCGTCATGTCGATGAATCGTCCAAACAGGGTTTCGAATGGTGACACGAGTAGTAGGAACTTTGATCGGATCTTGGTAATCATGTCAGCATAGTATCCTCGTCCCTGCGTGTCGTTCAAGATTCAAAGCTCTGTGAGATTGAGTTGAGCGGAGTGACAGAGGTATAAGTTTCAAGGCTAGATATGCAAAATAGCAAAATATCTGCAATCCAATATCAAAGACTAGCATTCAATTGGGTGAAGAGAAGCCAATATTTCTTGATCTACAAACTTCGGTTCAACATACTCATTTCAAACTTCGAATATCCTGTTTTTTGATGCCAATGTCAGCTGCAATCAACTGTCCAAGCCTCGATGTGGTACTATTATTGCACTACTCGATAAGGTTATGTGATATTGAAATTCTTCTCCATACAAAACGTGGAACATGCGTGCCATTGACATGACTTCTTCTGCCTATATTCAGTAGTACTGTCAGCTGAGAACGGTACCTGACATGATATCTACTGTTCCTTAACCTGATATCTTAGCTATCTTGTCATCCCCTGGCCATCTAATGGTTTCAAAATTCATACCTTTCCCAAGGGCCTGAGTTCTCGGTGGAACAACCAACTTCAGAGTATATACCGAATATTCCGAGTGAGCCAATCAAAAGGAAACTTCCGCACACCCACAAAACTCGTCAAGTATATTGTGATCTACGAAAGCCGTTTGACTTTCTTTTGTGCTATTGAAATTCACTCCGATTTGGGGGAACACGACATCAAAGCGCACACAGCTACATATTAATTTGTTGCGGGCGTTGCTGATGTTGGCACATGGCGACCCCCCAAATATAGAGGTGGTAAGAAAGACGAAGATAAAAAAAACCCCCTTCATCACTTCTCCACGCTTTCATCTTGGTCAAAACGACTAATCCTTCCCGAATCTTACACTTCTGCGATATAAAAATTGAATTGACATATTGATGCGGTAACGTCGGGATGCCCTACGAGATGTCATAGTATGAAGCTTCCAATGTCTCACAATTCATCATAATTAGAAGCTTTAACTCATCCAACCCCACGACGGCCCGAGAGAAAATAACAATAAAGTTTTGGATGACCGTGACCCGGTTTAAAGGAAATTGAATGTTAGCCACGGACGCATTCCCCCTCATTCCAGTCCTATCTCATATCTAATCCTTTGGCGTGTTCCGTAGTGCGGATGAATATCAGCAGTGAAGGCTAACTACCTACGTAGGTACTTCACTGTGAGATAAGATCCAAGACATGTTAGTTAAATTGTCTACTCCACAAACACTATTGCATACCATCCATCCATGACTCCTTTCCCCTTGTTGGCTATCGAAATATGTACCTAGATTCTGGAGGATCGACCTTAGCTTTCCAATGGTCAACTAACAATCGAATGAATTTCTAGAACTACCTACACATAAAGCAAAATGCCAAAGCTCAGTATCCAGCCTTCTCACCGAGTACGAACTCAAAATACTATACGGAGTAGCAATCGCAAAATTCCCAGGAGATGGGTTGATTCTTTCGGCTATGCCCCCAATATCTAATCATTTTAGACCCGCTTTCAAAATCAACTTGGAAAATGATACGTCAGAAAAGCCACTGTTGGTCTCGTATGTTGAAGGATTATTGAGACGCGTTCTTGTCACGTCTACTTGCCCTGTTTGTGAACGACCTCATGCAATCGTATATTAAATGCACGCAACCTGGTTCAAGGTACCATTCACGCGTCCCAGCATGACCTAGCCGTATTACTCAAATCCTGCACGTTTTTACACTTGAAATATATCCTGAAGTACACATGCAGAACACGAGCCTCCTCTTTTAGGTACATAATGTTCTGCACAACGGCACAGCAAATTTTTCTTACAAAAAGGTACTGGCACTGAGGAAAAAGACCGCCCTTGCATATGCAAGCTGCAAACACTTAACCATTGCATATTCGCCTCCTCCTTTTTCGCTGTTCACCGCTTAAACTATGTAAACATAACCAATCAAGACAATTTCAATGAGATCTCTGTCCTACTGTATCTTACAGCAATCCTCATTCTGGAAGGATACATGAGGATAGAGTAGCTTTACGGTCGCAGAATAGGCCAGCGGTCTCTTATCCAGTGACCTTTCTTCTAATCCCTCCAAAGACCTCCACGCAGAGTAGCTAATTACTCATACTACATATGTATGTATATATGTATGTACATGTTCGCTTACATATATCCTCTCCAGCATCCCAAAATATCTTCTAGAATCATGGAAATATCTCTAGACCTAAAAGAGATTGTTTCCGATTATCGGATTTTTTGAATCGGGCTCGAATTTAACTTTAAGCAAGCTTCCAAGTTTGTCAAAATCTGCAAGAAATCTAAGACCATCCCGCATCTTGATCCTAATTAGCACTTCCGCATCTACCCATTTACGCGCCGAAGCCATGGCGGAATTGGTTCTTTGATACGAAGTATATCTTCATGTGACGGAAAAAGTAAAGTAAAGGATTGATCTATTGATTTTGCACCTTTTAGTAGCATTCCTATTATGTCTATGACTCTTCCGTTATATGAGGCATATGTTATTCAACACCCTCTTTTTTCAACCCCAGTATTCTATTCAATACCACGTTCCAACATAATTATCTCTCTAGTCGTGGCGGGTTTTATCTGTACGGAGCTACTTACAGTTTGCGATATCGATAAGAGAATGTGGCATGTATCAAGTTAATTGATCCCTTGCCCCGCCGGTTCCGATAATATTCCAACATTCTAATATTCAGCCCGAATTCTAATCGTCGGAGAATTTATCTTGCCAATATTCTTTAAATTCTTGGCCCAACATCAAGGCGTAATAGGTAATTTTGAGATTCGGATTCAAATCACATATACCATACGAGTAGGCAATGCACACATCCCTCAAAGGCTTTCCTATATATGGATTAGACCTATCAATAATGGCAATTCTTGAGAATTTAGATATTCTATACTAGAGCAAGGAACTAGGGACTTGCAGCTTCATAACTCCTCACTTCTAGAGTCTTATATTATGATGTTGTGATATTCCTCCTTCTGATCCACGCCTAACACCTACTGCCTCTCAAGTCTCCATCACCCTGCATGCAGATTAGCACTTTCCTCAACCCAAGCATGCCAAGTTCCCCCAATTCACGAACGAAAATTCCATCCCCTCCCGACTCCACCATGAATCAATTTATAGTCATGGGAACAAGAATATTCCGATACAATATCCATATTCCAAACGGAGTCAAATCGGGCATATTACCGAGAATGATGCCATTACCGAGATGCTATGGAGATCTTTCTATTCAAGTAATACATATTTCCGCACTTACACTACTAGTGATCCTTCACCGTTTGTTTCGTGGCAGATCATCGGGAAGAACTCATTCCACTATCATGGATGACATGTTTGATTGTCATGATATGATCCACTATTTGACTGACATGACATGATAACTATATACCATTCGTATGGGGTATGGAAAGCAGCAAGGCTCTTTTTTTCCTTTTGAAACTTTGGATATTAACTCCATGGGGTTGTTTGTGAGGGCTTACGAATGTAAATCGTGAGTCTTGAGTCAAGATAGAAAATTTTCATCACTCGGCAGAATTGAACGGAGATTTCAGAGACATAGATCCACTACGTGCAGGAGCTTTTGCAACATTCTTCGTTCACTGCTCAGGAGGTTTCTACGGAATGCAGACTTCAGTTGGAGATCAGTAGGTACACGATGTCTTGTCTCTTCTTGCTGTTGATGATGAAAGTTTGAAGCTCTCTAAGATGAGGGGCTTCAAATTACAAAGATCTGAGAGCTGAAGATCTGGAAAGGGTCATTGTCACTGGCGGCTTGGCCACATCTTTACACATTTACACATGACGCATTGTCGTTGCTTGGATAAATCTGAAGCTCTTCAAATCGTACATGATGTCTATACGAAAGAAAGCCTTGGAGTGGGACGCTTATAATTGCTTAGATGGGACACGCTTGGCCATACATTTTGTTTCTCCGAGAGACTTGCATATTTTGCGAGCAGAAGGACATGAATTCCTCTCAAAGTTGAGCCATTATTCAAACTTAAAAGTCTACTGTGTGAAATACAATCATGAGTGAAGTTGGTTCGAAATTATCCAAATCAATAGCAGGCGTTTGATAGTTGAAGATTGCGATGGATACCTACTTCCAATACTCAGCGCAGTTCCTGAGATTCGAATGAATTATGAAAGTCTACCAGGTGTTTCAAACTTTCAACCAAACTCAAAATTATCATGTCAAAATAGACGTAACGCAGAACAACTCGACGGCTACAGTTCTAGCACAATTCAGAAAGTCGTGATGTGATCACCAAAGTTACAAGAAGTTCGAGGTCCAATCATCAGCAACATCGGTACCTTTTCAGCGCTCATTAAATTAAGAAACAACACTACTTATTTCACAACAAACAAAATCCAGTTGGCTTAGTGGTGGCGCACTTGGTTTTCACATCCTCTCAAACAGGATCACTGCTTCACAGCCGAAGAATTTGCTTGTTGGAAAATCAGTTCGGCTGGTTTTAATCAGGATCCTGCGGCGCCCTCCTGAACAGGACTAATAATATTTTTGCAATTATTTTAACTGTTCTTATGTTTTTTGGTGGGATGAAAATTCGAAAAGACTTGTTGGCTTTCATCCCTATTTTGCAGCTTATTTCGCTCACAGAAATACATCATTGAAAGTGTAGCTTCTCAATAACAGACGAGAACTGTGGGCCTATCCTGTCGAGAATAAGAAATGAAGACTTTTCACAGCATGGAGAATAACAGCAGCACATACATTTTATCTATGCTTCGCTGCCACGTGAAGGAATTCGCTGTTTTGTATGAAGCTAGGATTGAGGGTCGACTTTACGATGTGGGTGTAAACTATATAGCTGCTCATGAATTGAACCCACCTCGAAAGTATTGACGATGTGACCGCGCGCAACCTCTTTACCGGATCTTTCTCGCAACATCTTCCAAAATTTCAAATGATCTCATTGGTCACGCATGATACAGAATATGTGGCAATCACCTCCTTTCCATCATTCAATAAGAGCGAATATATGGTTAAAACCCAGCAGAAATTTCTAGATAAACCTGCACATGAGCTCTACCTTATGAATGATTGGAATCTTTCATCAAGGTTATTTTGATAGTATGGGATGTATCAAGAGCTTATATCCTCACAATATACAGGGCCAAGCTTTAAGATGAACAATGAGTTAACTGGCAAACAAATATATCATTTACGATGTAATCAGGCAATAGTTATGTTACAAGTCGAATCTATAAATTTATCACAATTTCTAGTTATTGCTTTCTTATCTAGTTGGGAGTCATAGCCTCAATATCTCAATGAAGAGTTCATATTTTACCGATTGCAGCATCATCAGCTGAATAGCCCCCAGAAAATAGATACCAAAATCAACATATAACAACACAATTTCTAGCAAGTATATTGATATGTTAGTTAGTAACTTCAAAAAAATCCTAGAAAATTTGAGTGTAGCTAATGAAAAGGGGGACAAGCCTCAGCCCAACCGAGACGTTCACTCTCCAATTCGAATCAATCACTAGAACAAAAAGATGATCAAGTCATTGATCTTACAGAAGATTTGTGCTTGAGCTATTCATGAATCTAAATGTATGGTATGTACATCGTGTAAAACATTGATATATGCATAATGCACTGTGCCACATAGAGAAAGATATGAACGAGAATTCAAGCGAGAATTGAGAGCATTCTTCTCGGGATATAGATGCTTGATCTCTGAATCTGAAAATTTCTGGTGACTTCCAACTAAAGTGCACCAGGATGGTGAAAGTCGTTGCCGGGTGCCAAAGGCCAGCATCACTTGTTCATGGTTACAGTGTTGTGGCGATATATTAAATAAAACAACACCTCCAACACACTCAAATGGTTCAGAAAAAGAATTCAAATGACTGCTCGAGGTATCAGATTGAAAAATAAAAGCCTTGCTGAATCTTATTCCAGATGGTAGTATGGGGGAAAATATAAACTTCCCGGGACTGCCGGATTTTGATGTATCGACTTGAGAAACGGTAATCGTTTGCCGCTCCATGGATAAAGGCATATTGATTCGAGGTCTGGATTCAAGAGTTGTGGAAGCCGGACGTCGAAAAGCTCCCATTCGGTCTATGCTCATTCTAGAAGTATAAGGGCTTGGGGGGTGTTCCGGCATCAAGGTTAGAAAGATTCTATCATTATGCCAAGTCAAAATATCGAGGCATATTATTATAGGAGAGTGTGGAAGTGTACCGTTGACGCTGAGTGAAACATGGCTGTTGTCATTTAAAAGTAGAGGCAATTGTAGTCCATTAGATCCAAAAGAAGATTGTACATCAATCAAAGGACCATTGATATATCTGGTATTTTGCTCGTCGTACTGCAAAGTGCGAGGGGTATGATTTGATGGAAGAAGTGAAGTATATGGAATCCAGGAATCAGACCTCGAAGAGAGTGGCAGCCAACTAAAGCAGTCATCATGAGTGCAAAAGGCACTTGGAGAAGTTGCTAGTAGACCTTGATTGTAAGGCTCATGAGCAGCCGTCCATAAAAACAGCGTCTGGTCTGAATTTCGCTTAAGAATCTCTTGTTGAAGTCGAAGAAACGCATTTTCGGAGCCTTCCCCATACATCGGCAGCATATGAATATTGAACAGTCCCATTAAACAGTATGCCATGTCTTCTTCCCGGGTAGTTTCTCGTTTTGAAGCCCATGAAATTCTTTGGGCAGCATTGCAGTATCCTGGGTAAACATTTCCGAGTATGACATCCCTGAGAATACCCGTGATGCGTTCGATAGCAGCTGCATGCTCGTCCTTCGTTCCTAATAGACGCCAGTGCATATCAAACAGTAGTACATGACGTGGTGCTATGAGTTCCTGCAATGTCCATCCACGAGAGAACCATTTGCTTTTATCCAAAGAGCCGATCTCCTCCAAGTCAGATAAATATGCATAACAAACTGCAGAATCTTGATACCAACGATACATTGAGTTGATGGCCTCACTAAGTTCCGCGGAGCTTGATTTGTCAATGCAACATGTGTCAACCCAGACCCAATCATATTTGTCTTCCCTGGCTCTTCTGCGACACTCTTTTAGCTTCGCAAAACCCTTCTTCTGATTGAAATTGCCAATTTTGATATCTTCAAAGGTGACTTCTTCTTCCTCCCACCTATGAGAAAGAATAGCGTGCGAGGGGATATTCCGTTGGGAGAATTTCTGCACTCGAAGGTTCTCCGTATCTTTCGTGTCGAGCAATCGCATTTTTGCTTACACAAAAGGAGATGTCAATTTGTCGAAGAATGGCCGCTGGAAGAAGTCGGCAATGTGGGCTAGTCTGAAGACTGACACACGTGTCTGGATCCCTGTGGTTGCAAAGTTCGTGTACGACAAAAAGGTGGCATGTTATATCCCACCAATCATTCAGGGGCTCTCATTGTGATATAGATGAATAAGAATACACGTGATGGACGCTGGCGCTTATTGCGAATATACAGGCCTCGTGGCTCTCGACTTCAAAACTATACACCATATTCGCATGTAATTATGTTCTAATTGATTCTTACTTCTTACAAATTTAGTGTGATTTAAGTCAGATCGATTCGATCAGTTTTACTTCAAATAGTGTTTGTATTCTACAGTAGTTTCAAAATATTCTTTGGCTTCCTTCGTTCTTTATATTTTACTACAGCTTTTAGATCTTCCTTTAGAAATTAGAAAATACCATGGGCACGAGAAAATTTTTAGTTCCAGTCATTTACATCAAGTTACATGCAACTATTGTCCTTTAGGACAACATTTTCAAGCGGCAATTTTTGCAAAATGATTCTATATCACGGGTCACCTAATATCACAAACAAAGCAAGTAAATTATCTTCAATACTACTACACAATCATATCGACTAACTCACTGATCTTTTTTTCCTCGTGCCTCCTAAAGACTTGGCTGATAGAGATGTTAAGGCATAAGTCCCACATAAGCAGAGACTAGATGTTACCACTTCCTAATGCATTTATACAATTGTGCAAACATGTAGTGAATTGAATATTTTGAACTATCAAGGTACACACTATCACCTCTCTTCTCTCAACACCTTCCTCCACATCTCTCCTAACTTCCCAACAAAGACTTGCAAACAGAGCATAAATACTGCAGTTCAAAGACAGACACCACCCGTAGTAACTCTCTTTACCACCACATTTCCATACACTAAAAGGAGTCACTTAGCACGAGAAGTTCGAAGTCTTACTTAAAGTTTTAAGCCAGAAGTAAAATTCGCTAGAAGTGTGTAGACACAGAAACTCGCTCTCGAATTAATTGAAAATAATCAGATTATTATTGTATCTGCCTGCAAGATGGAAATAACGCCAGTGAACAGAGCTTGATTATTTTCATCCAATGTGGGCAATAGTATACTATAGTAAAATTGTGGCGTCCATTTTGACTTACCATCCGAATATCCAAAACCGTCAACAACTAAAATCACCCTCACGTCAATACGACACGAGCTCCACCGAAGTGGAAGTAAACCTATTCACATTCTCCAATTATTCAACCACATCAAAAAGATTTCGCTAGAGCAACGAACCCCCTTTCTCCCCATGCCCTTTTAGTTGACGCGTCCAAGTGCCCAATTGTAACATAAAAAGAGAATATGCAAAGCGAGTCGCATTTACATAGAAAACTACTCAACATAACAGAGTGTGAATCACAAATGACTCGCAAGCAGAGTGAATATCGGTATTTAGGCTCCATGAACATCCCAGCCTTTGTATAAAAGCTATCTCTACAGCCCATACCTCTTCATTACCACCTCGAACTATATAGCACAGGCACAATTCCTATGGTAATCCTAGAACTAACTCTGCTCAAGAATTAACAAGCAGATACACCTTCGTTCATTCCATCCGATAGGTACCTATACACAACTCTACATCTCGTTCACCGTATAAGCTCCAAGTAGTTATAGACAACAACTGCTCCATAAATTCAGACAACAAAATTAAGCAAACGACATCAAAACCACAAAATCAGTGTAATAAAATGATAACAGCATGACACAAGATACTAGTACTAGACGAATAACTTAGATGAGATATCTCGCGTAACAGATTCATAAATCAGCGGTAAACGAACTTCGTTACCAGCTTGCACGATGAGATAGCAGATATCTAGATGAGTGAAAGAAGGAATTCGATTTCTTAGATGAGTATATGTTGCTCAAAACGATGGAACTAGTTATAAGATAGTTGCGAGACAGTTTGTTTGGAAAGTGGAATTGCCTTCAGACCTCGCTATGAGTTTGAGAATTGGGTTTCAGATCTGTTTTTTTAAACCACGACTACTGGTTGAGCGGTGAAAATAGCAGGTATGATGTTAGGCTGACAGTAGTAAAACTAGTGTTCTCGAGATAGCATTTCAATGCGAATTTAGGAAAGATTTGTACTTGTCTAACATGCAGGGCAATTTTTTATACAAATCTTCTTCGGACCCTAAGTTCTTGGTAGATCGCGTCACCTTGGTATATCTCCGGTAGTATATCTATCTCTGCGGATGAGACGCTAAAGCGTCGAAAAGATCTTGATATATTTATACCACTTGGATCTAAAAGTAGTTTCAAGCTCCACTGGAGTTCGCTAATTCTATCACCTTAGCCGCCGCTTCGTCAAAGTCATCATACGCATATAGTGGCAATCCACTTTCAGCAATCTATAATTTAAGACAAAAGTCAGTAAACACTTGTTATTCTCACCACATTTCAAAACAGTAATTAGACCACAACTAAAAAGAAAAAGAACACTTACAATCCTCTGTCCCTCCTTCTCATTCGTTCCTCTAATCCTAACGACTACCGGTACCTTAACTCCCAACTCCTTAAAAGCCAGAAGGATTCCCTCGGCAATCATATCTCCTAAAGTCAAACCCCCAAAAATATTGACAAAAACCACCTTTACCCTCTCATCTCTCAATATCACCTCGAAGCTCTTCTTTACCGTTTCCGCCGTCGCTTTCCCTCCAGTATCCAAGAAATTTGCAGCTTTCCCTCCCACATCTGCCAACGCATCTACAGTATTCATAGCCAGCCCTGCATCATTCACCAATGTTCCAATATTGCCATCACCGGCAAGTTTGATGTATACTATACCGTCTTTTTCAGCAGCTGTTTCTGCAGGATCTTGAATATCTGCGCGGGGAAGAGAATGAATTTCTGATTGACGATTCGAACTTTTAGAGGCAGCATCATCGAAACCGAAACGTGCATTCACGACCACCATTCTTTGATGACCTTCTAGTTTCGTTTCTTTCTGATTTTTTACGACGCATTCGAGGAGGAAGGCTTCTTTTTCTTTGAAGAGTTCATACAAGCCGGAAATGAGTGATTTCAATAACCTACTTTGAGGTCTCAAGCCCAAATGAGAGCTGCACTTATGGAGTACATTAGACATTCTGGCAGCATCGTATGAAAATGGAAGCTTTATCGATTTTGTAGAGGACTCATTCTCTTTACCCGGTCCTTGTATTATTAAACATGGACATCGGTTACTTCGATCGATGCCAATAGCAAGGTGGTAAGTGTGGCCAGCTGGACTTCTAATGATTTTCTTTTCGTCGAGCAATTTAAACGCATCTCCCTCTTTGAGATATATGGTTCTTCTGTGTCTCATGTTCATTTGTGAAGTCCTTAGTGTTGGACGTACCCTCATGGTATGTATACCTCGCTTTTGAGAATGAATACCTGTAGCCATACCGCTACTTGATCTTCCGGAGCTCTCTAGTAAAGTCTTCATAGCATTACCAAATTTGGCTGGATGATTGACCATAGTAACTCCTACGTCTTCGAAAGCCTTGATTTTTGTCAACGCATCAGGTTCTCCTGGTAAAGTGAAAGCTCCAGCATGACCCATGACTCTACCAGGAGCTGCATGAACACCAGCTACTAGTGCTGTTATAGGTCTATGGAAGGTTAGTATAACTCGAAATGTCTTTAGAAAACTTACTTGGGATTTGAGGAACGTTTTTTATATTCCTTAATCCAAGCAGCAGCCTCAAGTTCTGCTTCACCACCAATTTCACCGATAATAATGATTCCTTCGGTATCATCATCATGTTCAAAAATCTTCAAAGCATCCACAAAATTAGTACCAGCCAATACGTCACCACCCATTCCAATACAAAGACTTTGACCAAGTCCAGCCCTGGTCGTTGATGCGACGGCTATTGATATTAGCATTGATCAAGACCATCTGCCTAGTATCTTACCTTCATAACTTAAAGTTCCAGATTTAGCGACAATACCTATTCGACCTGGTGTGAAGCAAGAAAGGGGTTGGAAACCGATTCGACATTTTCCAATTGCTGAAATGATTCCTGGAGCATTGGCACCGACTAATCGACTTTTTGATTGAGTGTCCAGTATATTATGTATCTTAAACATATTAGCTCCGTATTATTGTAAATCTATAGAATCATACCCTTAACATATCATGGATAGGAATGTGTTCAGCAACGGCAACAATAAGAGGAACTTCTGCTTCAATGGCTTCTTCAATTGCACTTGGTGCTTGATGAGCTGCTACGTATATCCCAGTTGCATCTGGCTTGAGTTGCTCCATTGCCTATTTCAGGTTGTTAGTGCAATTAACATCCATAGTCGTGATATACTTGCCTCCTTTACAGTAGGTAAAACTGGTAATCCCAAATGCTCTCCGCTCTTTCCAGGTGTCACACCACCAACTATATTAGTTCCCCATTCTATTGACTCTTTGGCATTTGCTGTGGCCTTTCTAGAATATTGAGATCAGCATAGGAATTATTGACGATTCTTAATTTTGGGATGTCACCTGTCTACCTGTATCAAATCAGTCATGATACATGTTCAGAAAAAGGTCGATTGCTCATCATACCTGTGAAACCCTGAAATATAACCCTAGTGTGACTTCCAATCTTCAAATTCTTGATTGTTTCTCCATATCTATCCTCATGTGTATGTTTACCATCGTCACTACGTACGAAATGCTTCAACGTTCTTGTGCTGGAGTACCCGAATCTACCCCGCGTGAGAGATTTTGAACGTATCATGTTGACCTTGTCTGTCCGGATATATGTCCTTAGCTGAGAAAGAAACACAAACACCAAATATATACAATACAATATGGTCAGCCTACCAAGTATAAACAAATCATAAAATACTCTCGCCGTCGTAATAATCAATATAGATGTTTACGAAGTAATTAAAAGATGTACCTCAAGCTTAAGCTACAAACCTCGAACCTCGGGAACACCCATCGGGAACACCCATCGGGAATAAACGCCGATGAGCTTGAGCTTGAGCTTGAGCTTGAGCTTGAGCTTCACCCAAACCCACCTGCAGTCTTCGCATTTGTGGGGAAAGCAAACTACGTAGTAGGTACGCACGATCTCTTGCATTGAATTCTGGACCTCTACGGTACGTCCATGTACTCACGTCCGCTTTCCCAGCTCGTACCAAAAAGACTAGTAAAACGATGCATCACTCGTTCCACATGAGAGAACCCAAGTTCTGATTTCCCGTTCCCGTCACCTAATATGTATCTACTCGGTGTCTTGCGCCGTCCGTTCGTCCATCCAAGCAATAATTAATGGGAGCTAAAGACTAGCTAGAGCGTATTCCACCAATCCACGATGCGGAGAATTCATTTCGGGTTAGCCGTGGATATCCCGAGCTGGAGAATGCGCTACGCGACTCTATGAGAGAGGGATGGCATGAGTTATGAGTTACTATTAGGAAGCTACCACCTCCTAATTCGTACTTTATTTACGCACATGATACTTATTTAACATCAGTATTTGCTACACCATGCAAAGTCTCCCATCTGTTTTATAAGTTGAAGTTCCATTGTCAAGACATACAGAAGTAGTGGATCGTTTGTTACCGCACACTACACTTCCTGCTCTGGACCATTGAACGCAATTTAATTGCATTCTTCTACCTACTAGGTATTCAAGAACACCGAGCAAACACAAATCTTCAGTATCACTCCAATTCAATCGCAATCATGACAGTCGAACCAAAAGGTAAATTAATTTCTCTTTCCTATCTCCCCCCACGAACCCCGCAGCTAACCCCTCTCCCAGACCTCTCCAACACTCTCAGCAACCTCACCATCAACCCCTCCACCACCCCCTCCAAACCCTTCTCTAGAGCCAAAAAATCCATATCCCTCGCCGACTCCTGGGAAGACGAAGCCTCCTCTGGTTCCGACACCGAAACCGAAACCGACACTACTCAACCCCCATCAACAGAAAATACACTACGCCCCACCTCCTCTTCATTCCCCTCCGCACCACCACCTACCCCTATTTCTCCCCCTCCACCCAGCGAACACTTTCCACCTCCTCCTTCCTCTTCCTCCTCCAAGAAACCCATCAATTCCTCTGCACAAGAATTCGAGAATCCCTATGGTTACCCCGGCCCCTCATCCTCCTCCCCCAATTCTGCGCGGGGCCCAGAACGCAGACAGGAAAAAACAGATGCGGTAGCTCGAAGACTTATAGCAGGTGCATTGGGTGTTCGCGCACCGAAGAAGACAGAGGAACAGAGGGAATATGAACGGGTACAAAAGGAAAAGGAGATGAAGAGGAGGAAGGAAGAGAAGGAAGAGGAAGAGAAGAGGAGGCAGGAAGCAGAGAAAATAAAGAAAGGGGTGTGGGATGATTAGCTTGATTCATGGGGAAATTGAAGAGAGAAGGACGGAGAAGGATGATGGGAACAAGGGTTGAGGGGTAAGACAGATTTGATCTGGAAGTTATAAGCACGAAGTGTAGAGCTTAGAAGTAAGAGGCGGACCACGCATACATATTTTACTCTCTTACGCATTCATTCTACGCCGAGGTGTATTGCCCATCGAATATGTGCATGTGTAGATGCACAAGTTACCATCGCAGAGTAAGGAGGTCACATTGATTTGAGGCTGCCAGTTTGGTAGTAACTAAGATTTACATTCTTCATAAAGATGGAGATCCACACTAGATACTCATACCGAGGAATCGGGGTTGATTGTAGAATGATTTCCTCGCAAAGTCACAATGTAATGAGAGAGTAAATGAAGGCAGTGAGGAAAGGACTTCACAGCGCATGCACTCTCAATACAATAGCAGAACCTATGTTAGAAACACATCAAGCAAGAATCACAATAAAACCAAAGCGTACATCAAACGAGATGCTGAAAGATCCTGTCACAAATTGAGAACATCTTCATTTTCTTCCACCCAAGGAAAACAAGCATCTAAATTCTGTTCTTCGTGGCTGCAGCCAGAAAATATGCCCTGAAGTATGAAGAAACACTATTTGACGCCTCCCTAAAACACGCCAATACCGCGATGTAAAACTGACGAGTCATCCCCCAAACACAAGGAAAAAATAGCCCAGATGAGAAGATCGTTTTCGCTTTGCAAGATGTTAAATGTTAACTGCCAACGCAGCGTTACACATTCTTCTCCTTCGAACTGAGCTATCAGTCATCTCCAACCAGAGTTATCCTAAGCCCTGGTACCATTTCGCCTCTCCCTATCATGCGCATGCCGAATTGTTATGGTATCGTATCGTCGTGTAGTGGAATGGATGAGAAAGTAAGGGATGATTTATTGGCCACCAATTTGCTCTTGATGGACTTCAAGAGTGTCACCATCTTGCATATCCAACTGAGGTAAGATGCGTTAGTTAAAAGTGATGCGACACAGTGGCACAGAAACATTCCCCGATGAATACAAATATCAAATCCTCCACAAAATATAATAATCAAGTACACACCTTATCTGGGCTATCTGTAGCTTGAACACGGCTGCCATCGAAGAGGAAGCGGACGGAGTTTGGTGCTTTGCCTTGTCTTTCGCAGAAAGCATCCATCAACTTCTTCAACTGAGTGGAACGCTTGATCTTGAAGAAGACTTCATTATTGTTGTCGGTAACCTTGATGTTCAAGTGCTCAGAAACAGGGGCTTCAGGTCTCTCGCCAGCTGGGGATCCTTCATTGTCGGACATCTTGAAGTTGAAGTTCGGAAAATGGGTAGATGAAATTCGTGGGGTGGATGTTTCTGGTTTCGAGGCTGTAGGTGGTGGTGAATTGGTTAGTTTATGAAATAAAGAGGATCATTATGTAACAAATAAACTTACAATACAGGAGTAGATTTGTTTTTAGTAAATCGATCTGCTTTTGAAGTGTCTTTAAAAGTTATCAGTTGTGTCAGGTCAAAGGTTAAGAGCAAGTCGAGTGGTAGGTAAGGAATTGTGAGGAAGTCAAATTCACGCTTGTGGCTGATGACGCTAAACTTTAGTAACACAAAAAGGAAAGAGGAGTGGTGTGGATGGAGGGGTTCTGATTGGTGTAGTGTAGTTTGCTGGAGGCTGTTGTAGTCTTTCATCCAGATATAAAAAGATTCTCAAGGAACCACAGAACGAATGAACAAGAATTTACAATAACTTCAGACTTTCAAGGTTCTATCTATCATTGCATAAATACCCTTTTGAAAGAGATTAATTGTACCTTTCGCATTTGCGATCAAATATTGTACATGTACAGTATAAAGATCAATACAGTATCTAGGAACCTAGGTTATCGCAACAGCACACATTCATTCAAAAGGAAACTATCTGGTGGTTCATTTGCTGAGAGCCCAGGTTAAATATGGTGATAACAATTTTCTATCAAATCAAATTGCTTTTCTTTGGAAGTTATTGATACTAATGTTTATGTTATGGATTTTTAGCCACTCAAAAATGACATAACTACAGAACAACCTTGCCATTCTAAAGCTGTACGTTGCACTCACCACTTGATATTGCCTTTTGCAAAGAGCTGACAATACTGGACTGGATAAAGTGTGCCATCCAAGGTCAGCAGCATCTTTCTCTCGAAGCCAATTGGAAACTCAACTGATGATTTACATGTTAGATTGTCTTGCAAAGAACAATTATAATGAAGAGAAGTGCAGATCACAGATTGATGCACTATATGATTGCTGCAATGCATTCTATGAGAAGAATGGTGATGATGCAAAGAGTGTCTCCTGTCCCAAGGCAAATTTGCTACGGTTGAAGATGAAGCAGAGATCAGAAGAGAGGCAGGCATGAATGAAGATAATGGATAGATGTGCGCTCTAGAGAAGAATCGATCATGAAGGCTTTTATATCCATTCGTTGATGCCGCAACTCTCATAGTACTCTCTCCTAGTACCCCGACATTGATAGATCTATTATATAAGATACCATCACACATCATCACCACGTCACTTTTTCATCATATCAATATTACAGTTAAGTTTCTTACGGAAAGATGTAACTCTCCAAGTTTACTGCCATCCTTCACACCTCCGAAAAGGTCAGGTAACGGAAACAGGAAGAGTCTTTAATATGGCCGATCATGAGCGCGCAAAGAGATCCCAATGGACCTAACCAAGCATTGAAGGCTTGATTCGAGACTCTAATTAGAAGGGCGGTAAAAACATTGTAAAGAGAAAATGTCTAAATTTGCAAGCAAGAAATCTCTTAAATAGAAGATTTCCTTAGCGTCGAATTGTATATCGCGCTAAACTTTACCTGGCACGTCTGGTACTCAAAAGTCAAGATCGCATCTAAAAATTAATAATCCCTGACATTTCAGGACGCGACTAAATTGTTCCCAGGCCGAAGCTTCAATTTGTTGATTGAGGATTTGGTCTGTCCATATAATATCAACATTAAACAAATTGTACACTACTTTTTCTTATTTCTTTGCCTTTCCAAGTATTGCATTGTAAAATATGGCGCCCATGTCAACGCGCAATTCCACAATGAATAACCACACAAATGGATTGGATGTACCAAAGTCTCAGGTAAATATCAATAGCCTGAATTATACGGGAATTGAAGCTGACTTGAAATTCCTTTTTCTAGAATCATCGTGAAGGAAGTTGGCAAATGGTAGCGGTAAGTTTCTTTGGAATGCAATTCAGAATATTCAAGAATGCTAAACCTTACGCGCAGCAGGAATCAAGATTTGAAAGAGAACTTTCTGAAGACCCTTCTTCTTATGATGGAATGTCGCGCTATGGAGAAGAGCAAGAGCAAGAGCGACGTCAGTAACTCTTATGATCTTTTAATGATGCTTATGCGCCTTGTATTTACTAACTTCTATGATTGGTAGTTGAATATGAAAAACCAGCTATGTTAGAAAGTCCCGGAGAAACAGAAGCCGTCTTATACCCCCTTCAAGATGCTGCGAATCGAGTCGGAAATGAGGTGGAGAAGTTTGCGGAATTCCTTGATGGCTACAATCCTTTAAGGGTGACAGATGGGGACGAGAGACGAGAGATGGCATTCGATTTGATTGAGCTTTATCACAGAACTGCTCTCGATACATTGGACCGTTTACGAGATCGCCATGAATCCGAACGCCGAAGAATGGAGGGTTTGAGTTGGAGAAAGAAGATGAGGGGGTTCAAAATCACGCAAGACAATGATGAAGTGGATATGGAGAACTCGGACGAGGAAGAAGAGTTCATAACAAATTCCAGAACAACAGTGAAGGATCTGATTAGATGGGAACAGGAGGCGCAAACTTGGGACCTTTTGAGAAGATTGGCACACCTACGATTTCCCGGACCAGATAATGGAAAAGAATTCGAGCCTCAACAAACGCCTTTAAATCGGTATTCGAGTGAACGAGAAGCTTGGGATCATTTTCTACAGACAGATAATCTAGCCCTGGAACGAAAAACTGTGCTTCGATGGCTTCAGGATACAGCCGAGGAATCGGGAGAAGAAATTGACGTCTTAGTACAGGATTTACAGCAAAACGCGGAGAGGGGAGATATTATCGCGCATGGTTGGTTGCACACCAGGGCAGTTATCAAGCTTCAGAAAAATCAACACTCTTGGCCTCGAACTGTCGACCTCAATTCTAATGAAACCCAAAAAATGATGTGGAATGCAACCAAAACTGAACCCCTAGTCACTCAGCTGGATCCTGATTCAGTAACCCGTCAAGGCCGAAAGCTAGAGGTACAAGACGAATATTTCGAGCGCGCCATTTGGTTGGGTTGTTATCAAATGCTCCGCCGAGGCAGAAGCCCAGCTGAAATCAGAGAATGGTGTATGGATCGAACCGAAGTATGGAGAGCGGTCAGCATGTCTGGACTACCGGATGAAAAGTCATTGGAAGATGATGAGGAAGAGGACATCGCATCTGGTGCTCTTTGGCGACGCATGTGTTTTGCACTTGCACGAAAAGGCGGCAATGATGAGTACGAGCGAGCAGTTTACGGTATTCTCTCTGGTGACATCTCGAGCGTCGAACCTGTTTGTCAATCATGGGATGACTTAATTTTCACTCATTACAATGCCTTGTTGAGAACACAATTCGACAACTACATTCAGTCGGGACCGCAGGTATTGATGAACGGAACTTTGGGCTTTGGAGCACTTGACGCTGTTGTGCTCCACGGAGATAATGCGGTCGCTGGGAAGCGACTGGTAGAAAGCTTAAAGACAGATTCTCGAACTGCAGGGGAAAGCTCACAGCCAATGAAATTGCTTCAAGGTGTGTTGATTGGAGAGCAATTCGCAGACTTCATTTACCAACAAGGTCTGGCACTATCAAAATTTGCAAACGCCGAAACCACCTCAAATTTGATACCTCGAACGAATGAACAACCTAAAGACCAGGACGTCACCAATTATGTC